GATTTTTTTTTTTTTTTTTTTTTGTGAAAATACTGTACAGAGGAGTTACAATTACATGAGCAAGGTAATGAGTACATTTCGTTGCCATCTTCTTTGTTATCCCTTCCCATCTCCCGTTTCTCCTACCCCCCCCCCTTCCCGCACCCAAGTTGTAAAGTTCATTTTGGACCCATTGCCACAAAAAGATGTACTAGACTATAATTTTTAAGCCAGTACACACACACACACACACACACACACACACACACACCTCTCTCTCCTCTCTCTCTCTCTCTCTCCCTCTCTCTCTCTCTCTCTCCCTCTCTCCTTCTCTCCCTCTCTCCCTCTCTCTCTCTCTCTCTATCCCCATCCCCATCCCCGTGCCCAAGTTGTAAAGTTAGTTTTGGACCCATTGCAACAATGTGATGTACTAGACTATAATTTTTTTTTTTTTTTTTTTTTTGGTCATGGGGCTTGAACTCTGGGCCTGGGCACTGTCCCTCAGCTCTTCAGCTCAAGGCGAGCACTCTACCACTTGAGCTACAGCGCCACTTCCGGTTTTCTGGTGGTTTATTGGAGATAGGAGTCTCAAGGTCTCTCCTGCCCGGGCTGGCTTTGAACCGCGATCCTCAGATCTCAGCCTCCTGAGTAGCTAGGATTACAGGCGTGATCCACCAGCGCCCTGCCTAGACTATAATTTTTAAGCCAGTACTGTGATGTGTGGCTGTACTGTCCCATGGCCCGTAGCCTGGAGTATGTGCAGATGCTGGGTAGGTACGTCTGGGTGCTCTGGCCTTACCTTCAGCGCTAGGGAAGAAGATCACTGGGTTTCTAAATATGAAAGCTAATTATTTCACAGTGTTGTTCATGACAAGATAATTATTCTTGACTTGGCATTCTGATACCTGATAGCTACAGTTTTATTTATTAATTTAAATGAAATTTGTATTTTGAAATAAGTTTGGGATGAAGAGAAATTCAGGTGCTGTACACGGTTACTGCTGCTTGAAAAAGCAGATGTTTGAATTGTGTCCAGCAAGTAGGATTGCGGAATAAGCCAGTGGGGAGCAGGACCAGAGACAGCACAGAGGCTGATGAGGTGGCAGTGGAGATGCCCGCACTCTGCCCCTCGGTGGAGCACAGCTTGTGAGGGTTTCTGGTTCTGATTGGAGGCTTGGGTCACGTGGTGGGTGAAGGCCTCTCTTATGTAGATCAGGGCTAGTTGTTTACTGCTCTGAAACTGCAAACAACACTTCATTTCACTTTCTGAGCACAGAGGAAGGACGTCGGTTGAGGAAAGTTGTCTGAGTCCTTATCCCTTATTCCTTCTTTTAAAGAAATACATTTCTGATTTTGTAACAAATGAAAATGTCAGGTCATTATAATTCCATTTTCAATTATGGTATTCTAGAACTGTTTTAGGTCACTTAGAGACAAACTGCAGTATGCCAACTTCTTTTTAAGTATCTGAAAATTATACGTATAGGGGCTGGGAAGATGGCTCAGTGGTAGAGCGCTTGCCTTGCATGCATGAGGCCCTGGGTTCGATTCCTCAGCACCACATAAGCAAAAAGAAAAAAGCGGAAGTGGCACTGTGGCTCAAGTGGTAGAGCGCTAGCCTTGAGCTGAAGAGCTAAGGGACAATGCCCAGGCCCAGAGTTCAGGCCCCGTGACCAGACCCCCCCAAAAAAAATTATACATATAATTTGTAACTGTACTAACTTTAAACTGCCCATTCTAAAACAATCCCCACACTTACTGGAGTCTTCTTTACAAGACCCTGAGAGCTGTTTAGGAAGTGAAAGCCCGTAGGGAGCCGGTGTGGCGTGTGAGGTGTACACTGAGGATCGCGCCATTAGTAGCCTAGAGAAGGAAGCAGTGAGCTTCCTGGCCTGCCCATGGCATGGCCATAGCCCTGGACACCAGGCCCCACCTGTAGCCTGAATGCCCTGGGAAGACAGGAGCTGTGCCCCAAGGTGCCACTCACCACACACGCTGGGGACTCTTAGCGTTTAAAGTGAGAAAACAGCTATCTAGCCAAGATTCTGCAAGTCTTCTAGAAGCATTCTGCCCCTGAGTTTATGGCTAGGTACTTAGAAAACTGACTTTAAAAGTGAATGCTGCTCTGTCTAGGAGAACATGCAAAAGTGGCATCTATAGCAGGGTACACTCAGTGACAACTAGAAAGTGCTGGACATCCCACCAGGAGTCTACAGGGCTTTCTGTTTTTCTTGCAGGGGCCTGAATGGTGTCCCCAGTCATGGTCTTGGTACAGGTGAAGAAACAGAGTTGAGTACGGCTCCTTGCAGCCATATCCTACCCAACTGACCAGGCTCTGAGCCAGAGCTGCTGGGAATTTTGTACAGTCTCCCTAAGGGCATATACTTACCCTCATGCGAATTTCACAATGCAGTAAGATTGAGCTCACAATAGCTAGATAGAATTTAATTAGATTGAATTTACAATGTCCTTGAAATGGTTTGGATTACCGAAACCCAGGATAAAATATGAGTGTATAGATGGCGGTGAAACTTGAAGCAAAGATGAGCTCACCTGCTCACCTTAGAAAGGAAGGCTCTGCACTGACAGGCAAGCCAGTTCCTGGGAACGTCATATTCCTGGCAAGTGACAGATCCAGCCTCAGGACACCACGGAAGGAGGTTTGGATCTTGCTAGGCTGTGGTGACTTACACAGTCCCTGGTTCCCTGTGGGAGCTTTTTTTTTTTTTTGATCATGGGGCCTGGGCGCTGTCCCTCAGCTCTTCAGCTTGAGGCAAGGGCTCTACCACTTGAGCCACAGCTCCACTTCCAATTTTGTGTGTGGTTTATTGGAGATAAGAGTCTCATAGACTTCCCTGCCTCTGCTGGCTTTGGACCATGATCCTCATATGGTGCTCAGCCTCCTGAGTAGCTAGGAATTACAGGCGTGAGCCACTGGCGCCCAGCTTCTGTGGGTAGGTCACATAGGCACCTTGAGTGATGTTCTTTTACCTGATATTATTATATCATGTTGTAACTAATGACCTGGAATGAAGTATCTTTTAAAAACCTTTTTTCCCAGAAAATGCTTATTGTCTTAAAATGTTACTAACTTAAAAATTATTCCAAAGAAGTAAGAATGGCAAATAAACACATGAGGAAATGCTCAACATCCCTGGCCATAAAGGAAATACAAATCAAAACAACTTTGAGCCAGGTACTGGTGGCCCACGCCTATAATCCTAGCTACTCAGGAGCTGAGATCTGAAGATCTCAGTTGCACGCCAGCCTAGACAAAAAAGTCCATGAGACTCCTATCTCCAATAAACTACAGAAAGAGCTGGAAGTGGCGCTGTGGCTCAAGTGTTAGAGTACTAGCCTTGAGCACAAAGAAGCTCAGGGACAGTGCCCTGGCCCTGAGTTTAAACCCCAGGATCAAAAGAGAAAAAAAAAAAGAAGGAAGGAAGGAGGAGAGGGAGGAAGGGAGGAGGGAGAAAATTGAGATTCCATCTCACCACAGTTAGATTGGCCAACATCAATAATTCAAACAACAGCAAATGCTGGGGTGATGTGGGGAGGAAAAAAAAAAAAAAACTTTTGAACTGCTGGTGGAAATGTAAACAAGAACAACCATACAGTTTGGAAGTTTCTGAAGAAACTAAACATAGAGCTACCCCCAGTGACTAAGCCATACCACTCTTGATCATCTACCCAAAACATCACTAGTCAGGATACAATAAAGACACACCTCCATATTGCACTTTTCACAATAGTCAAGTTATGGAAACAGTCTAGATGCCCTACAGTAGATGAGTGGATCCAAAAAATGTGGTACCTATACACAATGAACTTTTATACAGTCATTAGCATAATATTTCCAGGGAAATGGATGGACCTAGAACAAACCAGGGTAAGTGAGGTAAGCCAAGCTCAGAGAGACAAACGGCACATGTTTTCTCTCATGTGGAAGCTAAATAGAAAGTAGAACTGGATGTGATAACCTGTTTAGATATGATAATGGATATGATAACCTGTACAGAACTGTATAGACCTGTAGGCATTCACACACAGACCATACTCTTATGGGGAGAATCCAAAGGTGTATCTCCTCTGAACATTTGAAATACTGTTTATCAAAATGAATTCCTAGAAATGGAAACGTTTTTTTGTTAGTGGTGGTCATGAAGGTGTTGTTTTTGATTTGGCTTCTTTGGAGGGAGGACGTGGGGCCGTGATGGTGGGCGGGTGAATGAGCACAGTCATGGTGGTCAGTAGACACTGTGGAACATGAGTGATGTAACTTGTGGGCAGGGAGATGGATTGTCCAAAATGACTTGAATCACTAGCTGAGTCATGAAATGGTAACCCCTCTGCACAACACCTTAATAATAACAATGCAGCTACATTTTAAAATAAAAGTAAGTTATTCCTTCACTAATGATTAAGTTTCAATAACAAATGTAAATAAGAGTAGTTCCTATTTCTTTGAGTATCTGTATTGCCAGGGAATTGGCTTACATCATCTCAGCTTTTAAGTGTGTTTTCCATTTCACAGAAGAGGAAAAGCAAATCTTGGCAAAATCAATAGCTAGACACCAAGTTGCTGTTGTCAGACTCACAGCTCAGTGCTCAGAGCATAGCTGGATGTCTCTTTTGCTATCTTGTCTCCTTTATATTTGCAGCTATTTTGTGTAGGTACATTAATGTAATGTCGATTAGTCAAACACTAATTTATCTCTTAGGTTAGGAAAAATGTCAGGATAACAGATTCAAACTGTTGGCCTTTGACAGAACCTGTAGAATCCTGGAGTATAAACTGACGAGTGTAGGCTTCTGTGTGGATAGTGTGTGCTCCCTTCCTGGGATTAGCCTTCTGGTTCTGGGGAAATAGGCAACAGAAGGTCTAAGGCTCTATGCTTCTGTGTCCACCACACCTTGACGAGTTCTCTGTGTACTGGTGCGCTGTGTGACTGGATCCCCCCCCCCCCCCCCCCGCCCCCATGTCCTAGGACATCAGGCCTCATGCACTGTGGTCTCCTCAGGTCGCGCTGGTACGCTGGACAGAGAGTGTCGGGCTCACTCTCATCAGCAGGGACCTCACCTCTGTGCAGCTGAAGACACCTGGTGGCCAAGTCCTGACCTACTGCATCCTTCAGGTGTTCCCCTTCACCTCTGAGAGCAAGCGGATGGGCATCATTGTCAGGGTAGGCCTCCCGGACCATGTCAGTCAGGTCCTGCTCAGCCTGTTCACGTAGGAAAAAAAAAGGTACTCAATTGGAGATAAGAGTCTCACAGGCTTTCACAGGCATGTGAAGGAAAGGAAAAGCTAGTTCTTACTGCATGATGAATTTGTACATGGAGCATTTCACTGGGACTTAGATTTGAATGAAATGATAAGAACTCTTGAGGGAAAATGAAATTATATGAAACCCTAAAAGAAAAGGGTTTTGAACCTGGTGCTGGTGGTTCACGCCTATAATCCTAGCTACTTAGGAAGCTGAGATCTGAGGATCACGGTTCAAAGCCAACCCAGGCAGGAAAGTCTATGAGATTTTTATCTCCAGTTAAGCACCAGAAAACTGGAAGTGGGGTATGGCTCAACTGGTAGAGCACTCACCTTGAGCTGAAGAGCTCAGGGACAGCACCTAGGCCCAGAGTTCAAGCCCCATGAACAGCAAAAAAAAAAATCTTAAGGAAAGCACTCCAGGAGCAGCACACACACACATGCACACACACAAAGCATAGGAGTACACTGATCTTTATTATTATTATTATGCCATTCATACAGAAAAATATTCAAGTTACAGCAGAAGCTACTCCCCAGGAATCCCTTTTTCCAGTTCCTTTTCTATTAGGCCAGCAGTTGCTTGTACGGAATGATGCAGCCCAGCTGGTCCTGTGTCTGTTTTCCCTCCACCACAGGACGAGTCCTCAGCAGAAATCACTTTTTATATGAAAGGTGCTGATGTTGCCATGTCCACCATTGTCCAGTACAACGATTGGCTAGAGGAGGAGGTGAGTGAGTTTTCTCGGCATTGTGCCAGATGTTTCACGAAATGTACTGAAGAGTGACAAAGTAGCATTTTCCCCCATTTGTATATACTAGTATCTCTGGAGTAAGTTAAGTCATTGAAATTTAATATCAGAAACTGATAGGTTATCTGGGTGCATTATTTTCCACTAAATTATGTTAAGTACTTAATAGTTCTTTTCATAAAGTAGGAAGTTTTAGTTAATTATAAACAGTTTGCTTCCTACAGAAATAACTGCCACTTTTCATGGCTGAATGTGTATGTCTGTATTTTATTAATACTGAAATAGCATTATCCATCATTCACTAGAGAATTCTACAATAAAACTACATGCATAAATAACCAAAGTTATACTTTACTTTCATATTGGTTTTGTAAACCCAATTAAAAACATTTTTAAGGTTTTAATTCAGGGCTGGGACGGTGGCTCAGTGGTAGAGTGCTTGCCTTGCATGCATGAGGTCCTGGGTTCGATGCCTCACCACCACATAAACAGAAGAATTCGGAAGTGGCACTGTGGCTCAAGTGGTCGAGCGCTAGCCATGAGCTGAAGAGCTCAGAGATAGCACCCAGACCAAGAGTTCAAGCCCCACGACTGACCCCCCCCCCCAAAAAAAAGATTTTAATTCAAATATTAATCTAATAGTAATTTTTTTCTTTTTAGATCTAGAAATGTGGTACAAATACAAGCATTCCCTATATTAAGTACTCCCTAAATGAATGTGATTTCTGTTCAGCCTCGGGAGAGTCTATTTATTGTTGAGTTTTTGTGTCGATAGTTAGACTTAAGAATAAAAGTAAGCTCAGTTGTCATTGTAAACAGGTGCCCGAGTTACTACTGTGCTCTGAGCTCTGTCTCACCTTAGGCCTCAGTGATAACCTGTCAGCACGGTGACCACGCTTGTTCAGGATGATGTCGCATTAGAGTCAATACCACCCTCCAGGCGTTTTGAATTCATCAGAGACAGGAATGGTCACAATGACATGGAATTAATTATAAAATACTGGTTTAATTTATTTATCTTTATGAGGTCAAATCAATAAACAGACAGATAATGTCAGATTGTTTTCACAAAGATAGCTTCATTAAAAATCCTATGTATACGTATTTTCTCAGCTTTCTATTATTTTCCTTTCGTAGATAACCCTTCTGACCCTTCACCGGTGTCTTTGTTATGATGCTGTCATAGACTTTATTAAAAAGCGTAGCAAGGCAGGTGTAGGAGAACCACTTAGACGGTTGTTCACGTGTGTTCCTGCAGGTTTCCTAAAACCTGGCCCGTGTCTGTGAAGAGGCAGGGGTCCGCCCTGTAGGGATGTGTGGTAACATTTCAAGTGAAGGTCATGTGTTCAGCAGTGGAATGGGTCTCACTGGACAGTGCAAGTTAGATCTTGTAACAGGTTTCCAACGGCCCCAAGCAGGTTTACCCCAGTCTACAACCAGCCCTGTGCCAGAGGTAGCCTGTGCCTTCACACCATCGCTCCCCTAAACTGTTGAGCTTTGCTTCTCTGTCATCACTACAATGCATTCCCTTACTATGAATGTGATTAGCATTTTTCTTTCACACACCTACCAAACTCACTTCTGTTTTCTTCCCACATGAATCAAGGCTCATCAGACTTGATTCTTCCTTCCCTGCCTAGTTAGTCCTGAACCACATAGCCAGGTGCATGGGGCTCAGGGTCTGTCTGGGTCCCCCATGCCTCACCCCCAGTCTCTGCCCATACAAGGGTAGTGATGATCCCATATCACATGAGCAGCCTGATTCCACAGACAGCAAAATACAGCAACAAGAGCAAAGTTGTGTGGCTCTTACTTTCTGCCAGACTCTGGTATTAGACAGCACACAAACCTGGTCCCTAAACAGCCCTGTTGGGGCAGTTTCTTGGTAAGTCTGGGGCAACAAGTTAAGTGTTTTCCTCTGTAGGGGAATATAACTACATGCCAGCATGGTTCTCACATCCTCCATATTAGCTCACTGATCTACAGCCTGTGCCACCCCTTCTACTTCCTGATCTGTATATCCACAGACCTTCCACCCTCTCCTGTGCCCCACGGAGACCTTGCACCCCACCTAGCCGTCCTCACCCATGCGGCTTCCAGGAGGCTTCCACCGCCACCTTCTTCCGCCTCATAAGCAATCCTGTCTCCTCACAGCTGCATCCCCCGGAAGGCATTTGCCAGCCCCGCCAGGCCTCTTTCCTGCCCAGCTACTTTCAGTTTCCTTACTTTATCCACATTCACAACTTGTTGTCGCTCTCTGAAGCCAAGCTTGTTGTGTGCTAGGCAGGTACAGCTGTCCCAGCTCCAGAGAGTCAAGATGGCAAGATGGCCATATTTCTGGAACAGCACTCTGCTAAAGGTTTGTCTAACCGCTGTGTGCTGTGTGCTTTGCCTATGAATCCTTTTTTTCATTAATTTGTTATTGTTATCAAGTTGATATACAGTTGCGTAGGTCAGGTAAAGTTCTTTTTGGACAGTGTCACCCATTCCATCACTCTCTGTTTTTCCCTCTTCTCCTGCCCCACAAGTTGTATAGTTCATTTTCCACGTAGTGCCCAGTGAGCCCCGCGACTGTGTTTGCTCGCCCTTCGTCCCTCCGTCTCTGTGCTGGGTCTCCTCCTCGAGGAGAGGTGACATGCAGCTGTGTTGTGCGGTCTGTTGTCTGGTGGAGCCCAGGGGCCTCTGGGGAGATGAGGACAGGACAGCAGTGCTTGATAGGACTTGAAACTCCACCAGCGTCTCCTCGTTTTGTGGGAATAAAGGATGACTTGGTCCTTCCTCTTTCAGTGTGGGAACATGGCACGGGAGGGGCTTCGCACCCTTGTGGTGGCAAAAAGGACACTAACAGAAGAGCAGTATCAGGACTTTGAGGTAAGCAGCTTCCGTCAGCCATTCTCAGACTCACTTTCCCCACACAGAAGTGTGTCCTTCTAGTCCACCCTGCAGTGGTGGGGCTGCTGCCGCTGCTGCCACATGCAACTCCGTGGCCCCGCCCACTCCAGTTCCAGGGAAGGGAGTGTGTGTGTGTAGAAACCACGGGTTTTCATGTCCTTTGTGTGGGCCAAGCATCCTTCTCTCCTCAACATGCTTAGAGCAGAAATGGTTCACACTTGTCTGGTACATAGATTGGGGGATATTTTCATAGACTAGTTTAGCACCCCTAGCCTCAAAATCCGAAATCTGAAATGCCCCAAATTATGAGACTTTTAGAGTTTCACGCCAGTGCGCCTAACATTGGAGCATTACAGATTTTCAGATGTAGTGATATTCAACCTGCATTGTGAATTGCCACCCAGGAAATGATTGTGCGCGCCCAGCAGAGCACATGCACAGTACATCCCTCTGTCCTAGAGCTGACACCATCCTCACGGTGTCTCCCTTCCCCCTAGAGCCGATACAGTCAAGCCAAACTGAGCATCCACGATCGGGCGCTGAAGGTGGCTGCGGTGGTGGAAAGCCTGGAGAGGGAGATGGAGCTGCTCTGCCTCACTGGGGTGGAGGACCAGCTGCAGGCCGATGTCAGACCCACGTTGGAGATGCTGCGGAACGCTGGAATCAAGGTAGTGCCTGGTGCTCCACCCTCAGAGCTGCAACCACTTGTTCTCAGGACACTCCCGTGAGATGGGAAGCTGAACAGAGCTTCGTAAGTGAAGCTGCATCCTACTCCCCACCTTCCCACCCTCTTTCCTAGTGCACCTCCAAGGGTATCCTGTGGCCCTCCTTCAGACTTCCTTCTGCCTTCCTCTCCCACCCCCTGGGCCCTGTCCGCTCAGGACAGCATTGTCCTTCTGAGGCAGGGCTCTGCTCCAGGATGCCCGCATCCCTGAGGGGAGGCCTGAGGCCTAGAGGCCCTGGCTGGTGTGCACAGGACAGCATTGTCCTTCTGAGGCAGGGCTCCAGGACGCCCGCATCCCTGAGAGGAGGCCTGAGGCCTAGAGGCCCTGGCTGGGGTGCTCAGGACAGCATTGTCCTTCTGAGGCAGGGCTCCGGGACGCCCGCATCCCTGAGGGGAGGCCTGAGGCCTAGAGGCCCTGGCTGGGGTGCTCAGGACAGCATTGTCCTTCTGAGGCAGGGCTCCAGGACGCCCGCATCCCTGAGGGGAGGCCTGAGGCCTAGAGGCCCTGGCTGGGGTGCTCAGGACAGCATTGTCCTTCTGAGGCAGGGCTCCAGGATGTCCGCATCCCTGAGGGGAGGCCTGAGGCCTAGAGGCCCTGGCTGGTGTGCTCAGGACAGCATTGTCCTTCTGAGGCAGGGCTCTGCTCCAGGACGCCCGCATCCCTGAGGGGAGGCCTGAGGCCTAGAGGCCCTGGCTGGTGTGCTCAGGACAGCATTGTCCTTCTGAGGCAGGGCTCTGCTCCAGGACGCCCGCATCCCTGAGGGGAGGCCTGAGGCCTAGAGGCCCTGGCTGGTGTGCTCAGGACAGCATTGTCCTTCTGAGGCAGGGCTCTAGGATGCCCGCATCCCTGAGGGGAGGCCTGAGGCCTAGAAGCCCTGGCTGGTGTGCTCAGGCTGTGGTTCAGCCACATGTTCTTTATTTTCTCTCAGTCTCCATCGAGGTGGAGCGTGAACGTTGTCCTGTAGCAGTCCAGGCTGACCTGTGAGCTCTTTATCCTACGTAGAGTAGGAGGACTCAGTGAGCTTCGTTCACTGCTGGATCCTGGGTGTGCAGCTTCACCTGTACCCTGGAGCTCCTGCTCATGGACAAAGGCAAATGTTAGGTCTTAAGGAAGTCAGGGTCCTGGTACGAAGCTGTAGGTATTTATAGTGATTGAGTATTAAATGGTGTCAGACTTCCATCTAAAGGACTAGACCTCATCTCTGCACCTCACAGAACTGACTAGATGCTGCTCTCAAGTGGAAGGTGAGCCAGATTTTATGTGCCTTAGTTAGCTCAGCAGTGACAGTGCTGTCTGGCCTTGCCATAGTGACTTCTGATTGTTTGGGGTGTGGTAATGCTGATTGGAATATGCTAATGACAACACAGAGTGGGAGTACTCAGATATGGAGCCCAGCACAGCTGACTGTTCCTGAGGGAATGATGAGTGTGACTGGGCTCTTCTGTCTCATGTCCCCAAAAGTGGGTCCTTCTGTACAGTAGGTAAGGAGTCTGAGTCAAGTGGTAATGAGAATATTACTGGAAAAGTTCTGCTACTGTATAACATAAATATTTCACTATGTATTAAATGCTGTTTTATTCTTTTATGGTGTAGGTATGTAAATGTGTGTATGTTCATGTCTATTCAGGTTTTTTAATTTTACTGTCAAGGTGATATACAGAGAAGTTATAGTTGCATACATAAGGTAGTGAGTACATTTCTTGTCGAGCTTGTTGCCCCCACCTCATTTTCCTCCCAGTTTCCCTCTCCCCAGCCCCTCAAGGTGTGCAGGTCCATTCCAACATGCTGTCTTGTGGGTGTCGCTGTTGCATTGGCTCCCCCCTTGTCCTTTGTCTCGCCATTTTGTTGTTCCCTGTCCCTTCCTTAATTCAGATAAATGTATATACAACCCAGGGCACCAAAATCAAATACAGTGACAACAGGGACTAAACTACAGGAAAAAAAAAACACAAAAGAAAAAATAAATCACATAGTATATTAAAAACAACAGCTAAGAATAGCTGGGCACTGGTGGCTCACACCTGTAATCCTAGCTACTCAGGAGACTGAGATCTGAGGATCATGGTTCAAAACCAGCCCGGGCAGGAACATCCATGAGACTTTTATCTCCAATAAACCACTAGAAAACCGGAAATGGCGCTGTGGCTCTAGCGGTAGAGCGCTCGCCTTGAGCTGAAGAGTGCAGGGAGAGCGCCCAGGCCCAGAGTTCAAGCCCCACGACCGACAAAAAAAAAGAATAAGCCAGCCAGGTGCCTGTGGCCCACACCTGTAACCCTAGCTACTCAGGAGGATGAGATCTGAGGATCACAGTTCAAAGCCAGCCCATGCAGTAAAATCTGTGAGATTCTTATCTCCAATAAACCACTCAGGTAATCAGAAGTAGCGCTGTAGCTCAAGTGGTAGAGCGCTTGCCTTGAGCTGAAGAGCTGAGGGACAGTGCCCAGGCCCAGAGTTCAAGCCCCATGATTGACAAAAAATTAAAAAAAGAATAAGCCAGGCTTATTTAATTTTACAAGTGAGCCTTAGTATAGGCTTGTACCTGTAATCCTAACTAATCAAGGGGCTGGGATCTACCCTTTGAAGCCAGCATGGGCAGAAATGTCTCAGATGCGAGAATCACAGTTCAAAGCAAGTCCCGGCAGGAAAGTCCATGAGACTCTTATCTCCAATAAACCACTAGAAAACCGGAAGTGGTACTGTGACTCAAGTGATAGAGTTCAAGCCCCACGCCCAACAAAAAAAAAGAAAAAGAAAAACCTCTTCTTTCCATGTTTTGGAGTTCATTTCGCTTAGCATCATCTTATATGGTCATATGTACATAGCTGTTGAGCTGTTCTGCTCATCTGCTCGGACTATCCTGGATATATACTAATTATTACAAATGAGGGAAACCTTAGGATCTATGTTTCTTTGGGTCTGGCTTACTTAATATGATTTTTTTCCAAGTCTTTCCATTTCCTTATGAATTGGGCGATGTCATTCTTTCTGATGGGAGCCTAGAATTCCATTGTGTATATACACCACATTTTCTTGATCCATTCTTCTACTGAGGGGCATCTAGGTTGGTTTAATATCTTAGCTATGGTATATTCAGTTTTTTAGTGTAAAAATAACATTATTTGACCTATTCAATATCAATAACTTTGGCTTAACTGTAGGCCATTGACACACTGGAACTCCATTTTCCACCTGTAACTCTACCAAGGTAAAACAGGCTTCTGATTCTCCCTGCTCCATGCTCTGCCTTCCAAAACCTGTGAGTTGGATGGAGGGCTGAGTACATAGTGCCTTTTGGCATCTGCAGAGATTGATGTCAGACGTTGCCCAGCAGCTGCCTGGGCCTCGCTGTGAGTTGTGAGCCCAGCTCTAAGTGGCTGTGTCCACATGTCCCACTGTTCCTGTCTGTTTTCCCCAGATAAATCAGTATGGACACTCTTTATTGCAGTATGAAATGCAAAGCAAAACTTACTGTTTTGTCCCGTTCAGGACACACTCACTGGTCTGCAGCCATCACTGCCACCCATCCTCAGAACTGTCCAGTTTTGCAAACGAAAACTGACCCTGTGGAGCATCTACTTCCCTGTTCCTCCCGGGTGCCCATCTCCCACTTTCTGTCCTTACAGTCTTGGCTTTCCTGGGTACCTCAGTTAAGTAGAGTTAGGTGGTCTTTCTGTGTCTGGGTGGTCTCACTGGCCTTCGTGGTCTTCAACGTCCACCCCTGCCCTCCGTGTATCAGGATCCCCTCCTTTTTTAAGAATGATTCGAGGTTTGCCATTTATGGATGGACAGCACTTGGTTTATCTGTGTGTCTGTGTGAACACAGATATGGGAGTATCTGTTCACAGGCAGACCCTTTTACACTGAAGAATAGTGCAGTTGTAGTGCTAAAGTTCATTGTTTAAATCCTCTCATAGATATGGATGCTAACAGGAGATAAACTGGAGACAGCTACTTGCATTGCCAAAAGTTCACATCTGGTGTCAAGAACACAGGACATTCATGTTTTCAGACCAGTAAGTATGTTTCTAAATCACTTGGACTTCGTGTTTCATCTTAAATTAAAATGTGATTTTTCTATATACAACCATAGGTATAGTTGATATGATGTATATACAGCTATTTGTTAACTATTAAATAATGTTTTTAAAAGTAGCACTGAAATTTTCTCAGAGTATAAGAGTACGTTCCAGTAATTGGTTCAGTTACATTAAATGTGGTTTTTATAGGCCTCTTTGATAGCATGAACAAACTTCAAATTGAATATTATTTGGCTTTTATGTATTAGTATTATTATTACTACTTGTTAATAGATATGCTGTAAACATTTTCTATTCAACTTACAAAAATGTGTATGCACTTGTTTTTTTTGGCAACACTGGAGTCTGAACTCAGAACCTCATGCTTGCTAGACAGGCTCCCTACCTACCACTTGAGGTGTAACCATAGCCCTTCATTAGATAAGAGTCTCATGCTTTTGGCCTGAGATCAAGTCTTGGACTTGAACCACCATGTCTGGCTTGTTGGCTAACTTTTTTTCTTAAACTAGCCTTCCAATCTCTGTCTCCTGAATAGCTGGGATGGGTGTGTCTACTGTTTTTTAAGACTATATTTTGTCTTAGGTGTAAGATGAATGCAACAGTGCCAGAACCAGATCGTGGTTTTTATCTACTGGCATTCCAGATTAAACCATCTTCCTTAACTGGTGCAAAGACAGGGAGAGATAGGATCTAAAATCCTGTGCTTACTGTATGTATTAGCTCTGACTAGAGTTCCTTGAGTCTTGACTGATGGGTGAGCAGACGCCACATTTCTGTGCTGCAGGAAGGAAGCACTTGCACCTACAGCAGTGGTTATTGCAACACCATTTCCATGTAAATGTATTTATTTTAAACCATCAGAATCACTAATTAGGCCCTGAAGACTACTATTTGCAATTAAATTATTAATGCTTCTGATAAAACTTCCGATCAATTTTTGATGACTTTCAGAGTTATAGCACCACAAATTAAATTTATCACCATAAAACCTACCTATTTAAAGATGAGTCTGAAATTAATTGGACCACATGAAAATTTTAACTTATTTCAGCTCCCATAGCATTTCTTTTATACCCCATAAAATCTCCACTGAAAGAATGTCAAAAACCAGCCATTGGGCTTTTGACATCATTTCATTTTAACACAGCATTTCATTCAGTCTCCTGACCTTTTAGTATTCCAACTCAGTCATTCTCTCTTGAACTGCTTTGTCCTTCAAAACCAAACAAAACCAGTGGAAAAAGTAGAAACCATGTTCATGTGGCAGAAGCACGTCTATTGAACTGCTTTTTATAAAAGGGTGTGTAACTAAAACCCTGTCTAACCCATGTGGTAAGAGAAACTCAACTTCCTTGGGCCCTGACATTCTGATTTACGAAGTAGAATGCTCTGGGGCTGTGGTCACAACTCCAGAGACCAATGATCCACCTACCCTGCCGATCACCTTAGTAAATCATTGTCTCACATAAAGCACAAGAAATGTCTCAGTCATTCTCTCTCAGTTATTTGTTTGGCTGGCAGTATTAGGGTTAGAACTGAGGACCTCGCACTTACTGTGCTGGCACTTCACTGGTTAGCCATGCCCCGGCCGATACTCTGTAGCTTTTTGTTTGTTTGTGTTTGTAGGATAGGGTCTCACTTTTTGCTAGGGCATGTACTTAACGTACTTAGGCTTCCTGTAGTTGCTGGGTTGTCTTGTCCAGCTCTCTTCCTGGGAGATGGAATTGAAGACTTTTCTGAACCCTACTGGCCTGCAACCCCAGTCTTCTCAGCTTGCCGCCTCTCACTTTCCACATAGTTTGTGATGACAGCCTAGCTGTTGAGGGTTGAGTATGGGGTCTCACTTTTCTGCCCAGGTTGACCTTGAACCCCAATCAGCTAGGATTAAAGACCTAAGCCACCAGCACCACGGCAGTCTAGCTCTCTTTTAAGGGAATGTACTTGTAACAGCAGTAACCCTCCCCGGCTGTGCAACAGTGGTTGCCTTTTCTATAAATTTCCTGTGTGTGGTGCCTGTGTATCCCACTTTGCTCTGTGAGTTTTCTGCTTCCTAGCATGCTGGAGATTGAGGAGCACTGAGAAGAAATTTGAAAGGACCTTATTATAGGACTTCTCTTCCAGCAGCATCCTGTCCGTCTGTGCCACTCATTTAGAGGGGGTTTTAATTTGCACTGCTCTTCCCCCTGAAGGTGACCAGTCGGGGAGGGGCCCATTTAGAGCTGAATGCGTTTAGAAGGAAGCACGATTGTGCCCTGGTCATACCTGGGGACTCGTTGGAGGTAAGTGGGCTGCATGTGTATGTGTCTGTCTGTCCATCTGTCCACGCCTCGGTCTGTCTCCTTTCTGGAGTGAGGCTGGTCGCCCACTGAGCATGTTTCTGCCTCCTGTGGTAAGGCTTGTCTCTGTGTCTGTCTCTGTCTCTGTGTCTGTATGTCTGTCTCCTGAGGTAAGGCCAGTCCATAACATAGCAATTGTCTGCCCATCTATCTTCTAAGACTTGTCTCTGCCCGATCATGTGTCTCCCTGTCTATCTTCCCATGCCAGAAGACCAGGACTTTTTTTTTGGGGGGGGGGGTGAGGGGGAAGGGGTCTGGTCGTGGGGCCTGAACTCTGGGCCTGGGCACTGTCCCTAAGCTCTTCAGCTCAAGGCTAGCGCTCTACCACTTGAGCCACAGCGCCACTTCCGGCTTTTTTCTTTTTTCTTATGTGGTACTGAGGAATCGAACCCAGGGCCTCAGGCATGCAAGGCAAGTGCTCTACCACTGAGCTACCTTCCCAGCCCCCAGGATTTTTTTTTTAATTGGCTGTACTAGGATTTGAATTCAGGGCCCTAGTCAAGTATACTACTATTTAAGCCATGCCCCCTGCCCTTTTTTATTTTCAAATACCCAGGCTAGCAGTCCTCCTGTTGATACTTCTCATGTAGCTGGGCATGACAAGTGCACACCACCAGCTTCTGTGGGTTGAAATAGGTTCTCACTAACTGTCTACCTGGCCTCACATCATCATCCTCCCGAAGTCTGTCTCCTGAGCAGCTTAGACCATGGCTGTGAGCCTTCACACTGTAGCCAGTGTTTCTTGAGTGAAACACATTTATCAGGCAGCCTGAGCTGTCCTCACTATCTGGGAGATTTCTCTACTCACTACTGACATGTGTGATTATGCTAGAAGCTAGGCCTGAGGAGGTGTCCTGGCCAAGTCTGAGTGACCCTCTCTCTGCCCCTTCCTGTTCGGAGGTTGGTTGACTGCAGTGATTCAGGGCCAACACTGGTTCTGGGTCACTGGTCCTTGTTAATAGCAGCCTCACCCTTTTGCAGTCCTTGTTTCCATGCAGCAAGCATATTGAGCTGCTGGGGGCAGGGAACAGTGCATTGCTGTAGTCAAATCTTATCCTTTTGACTCTAGACACCTGGGAGCATGGAAGTCCTAGAAGGACCACAAGAAACACAAGGTTGGAGGTCAGAGACTCTCCCAGGGCTTCATTCTGGCTGTTGGAAGATTCTGGGTACAAATGCCCAGAGTAACTTCATTCTTTGTTTCAAATACTGGTAGGACACCCAATGGGGATGAAGGTGACAGGCTGCTAAGAATCCCCATCCACTGCTTCTGCACAGGACTCTGGCCTAATCATCACAGACCTTCCCCAGAGCCCCATGCCTAGAAGCCTGGGCAGAGACTGAGGCTTCTTATGATGATGAGCTGTGTCTGTCCCAGAACTTGCACCCACTTCCACCCTGACCTACGTAAGCAAGTCGCTGAGGCAGCCCAGACCCAGGAGCGAGCCAGAAGGCCTCTCTGAGGAAGCAGTAAAGATATCATTGCCATCTTAACTACCTCAGCATCCGTGACAAAATCACATTGGAGCTCAGCTTATGGAGCATTCCATCTGGTATTTTGAGTGGATACAAAGGTTGATTCCATGATGTTCAGAATTCCTTCCCCATAAGGCTTCGTGAGCAGGGGAGTGTTTCCTCAATACCTGTGAGATTGTGACCAGTAGAGTCCTTGACAGGGCCATCAGAGGGCACCTGCCTGGACTAGAGTGGGTACCTTGTCACTCGTAACCAGAGAGTGTTGGAGGCCTGTGCTGCCTTTCTCTCCACAGCACCCACAGAGGGCTGTGAGGCATTGGGTCTCCTTCTCCAGGTAGGGACATCTTCTTTGCTCCACCATTTCAGTTGGTATGACTTGTATTTGCTGCCTATCTGCGGCAAAGTTTTACCAGGATACAGTTTAAGCAGCCAGACTCCTCCTGCCCTAGTTCCCTACTTCCCTTCTTCTTGTCCCTAACATCTGCTGAAGATCTTGAGGCTCATATTTTGCTACTCATTACTGTGTCTCCAAATCATATCATTTGTAGTACTGCAGTTTGGTTCTTCAAAAGTCAGGTAGTATCTGTTTGGTTTCTGCTGTTCAGGGGGAGGTGTTCATTCTCGGTCCTCAGCTATCATTCTTCTAGTAGATTCGAGTCATGATTTCATTGGATTGATGTTCAGTGATAAAGATAAATGACACTTAGTTTGCTATAGTATATCTGTCAGGTTGCTCAAAAGGTTGAGGTAACTAGCAAAAAAAAAGTCTTTTAACATACATTATGGGGAATAAGGACTTTTCAAATTAAGTCAGGCACACTAGTGGCTCATGCTTGTAATCCTAGCTACTCAGGAGACAGAGATCTGAGGAGCTCAGTTCCAAGGCAGCCCAAGAAGACAAACCCAAGAGACTCTTACCTCCAACTAGCCAGCAAAAGCACTGGAAGTGAAGATGTAGTCAAGTGGGGGAGCACCAGCCTTAGCAAAAAAGCCAAGCCAGAGCAGAAGGCCTGAGTACAAAACCACAGTACTGCCCCTTCCCTGTCCCTCACCCCCCAAAAAAGAACGTAACTGGGAAGGACCGTCAAGGCAAATGTGTGTGAAGAGGTCCTAAAGGGGATATGTAAACATGGCGTGGGAGTTCTTTGTCCCAGAAGCCAAAAAGAAAATAAAGAAGAACACAAGCAGCAGTGGCAGACCCTGGTCGGGTGCCAGCTATGGCTGGGGGGAAGTGTGGCACAGCTCCTAGTAAAGGGTCCTCTACATGTAGGGGTCTAAAGGAGCAGAGCTGACTGCTGGGGAAATAGCACTCTCCTACTGTCAGTAGCGTGGCTGTTAGATTGTCTAAGAGTCTGAGAACCTGTCCTTATTAGCTAGGGCAGAAATCCTAGAGGTCTTGGGAAGCCGTCAGACTGTATACAGAGCTTTGGGATTTGGATTTCCCCAATCAGCTGGGGAATCAGGAGCTGCCCAGCCCCTTGAATTGTTGATGTCACAGATCAGACCAAGTGCTGAGAAGGAGAGGTGAGGTCATTCTAAGAACACAGTCTAGTTGGGGAAGTTTTGTGAAATGGCCTACGCACTTGTTCCAGAGAGGAAGCCATGAATCTTCTCAGTCACGTCATCCTTCTCAGGATGTCTCCTGGCCCCTGACTGGGCCCACCTAGCCTTGGTCTGAGCTGCTCTTTGCCTGGCACATGCCTTCCTTCCAGGGCTAAGCACAGCCGGCCTTGTTTCCCCATCCCACATTCCCCAGTGTGGGAATGAGCTTAGGATAGGAGAGAGGTGCCACAAAGGGGGAGGGAGCAGTCACAGGTGGCACTCAGAAAAGGCCAGGGCAGCCTCTGCATGGCTGCCCCACCCCCGCTGCTGGATTCCAGAGCCTTTTGGTGATAGTAGACACAAGGCTTGTCTTCCAGGTCTGCCTGAAGTACTATGAGCACGAGTTTGTAGAGTTGGCTTGCCAGTGCCCTGCTGTGGTGTGCTGCCGCTGCTCGCCTACTCAGAAAGCCCACATCGTGACCCTGCTCCGTCAGCACACGGGGAGGCGTACCTGTGCCATTGGTGAGCCTACCCAGCCTTCCATGGGAGTGGGGTGTGCCCGCGCCACTGCCGAGCCCGCCTGGTCCCCTGCGGCGTCCTCCAGAGCTCAACGATAGCGAGTGAAATGTTAGGCATGGCCAGCCTCCTGCCTATCATCTCTAAAATAGATTCTTGTGTATACATTACTTTGAGTTTTCTAAATAGCCCTTGGGTAGTAGAAAAGAAACATGTTTTCCTTCATTCCAACCTTTCTGCGTCTCAGGTGACGGAGGAAACGATGTGAGCATGATCCAGGCAGCCGACTGTGGAATTGGGATCGAAGGAAAGGTAGCGTTGGCCTTTGTCTGTGCACATTACACACACACCCATGTAGCTGGTCAGCACCCAGGAAAGAACCCTACCCTGACGGGCCCTGAGCCCATAACCCTGGTACAGCAGAGACATCAGAACCCTTGCAGAAGGCCTCACTCTGTGCCCAGTGGTCACCTATAAAATGTAGGAAATGTGCACTCATGCCTTAACCCCAGCCTCCCCCTGTTCTTGGAAGTCTTATGGTAGCTTCGCATTCTCACCTGTGCTCGGGTCCCCAGCACACCCCTCTTTGCTTCCATAGCTCCTGAGCTCCTCTCCCTGCTTCCCATGCCCGATTCTCTGCCTCGGTGTCCCTGTCTCCTTCCAGCCAAGCTGTGGTGGAGGCTTCTATTCTTGCCAGCCTTGATTGTTATCTTTAGAGTCGCTCAAACCAAAAACAATACTACAAGACCTGGGAAAGTAGCCCAACTTGAGTTTGGCATTTCCTTGGCTGTTCTGTTCTCTGGGGCCTTACAACAACTGTGAGAAACAGGAGGACAGTTGTGTGCTTATTGAGGTTTGTGGAGATGGTTCTGAAGAAGCCTGGGGTCTCAGGTGGGAGTGAGCAGCCCTGTGGTCAGTACCACACTATTTCACTACTTAATCCTTGTGTTGCTAGTAGAATGCTAGAGTCATTCTTCTCTAGAGCATTTGTGAGAAACGACTGATGTCCATGTTCAGACACCCTTGGACAAGTGCATGAGTTCCAGTGTAGGCTCTTCCACCTTCCTTGTTTGTGCCACTGCGGTGGATGAGCCCTGTGAAGCTTCCAGTGTTGTGCAGAAAGAGCAGCCTGCCCTTCTAATTCAGACCAAGCTCTGACACAGGTTTGGAGTGTGAGGCTCTCAGCATGCAGTGTTTTGTAGAGGTCTCTATTGTTCTGTTGCAGGAGGGGAAGCAGGCCTCGCTGGCAGCGGACTTCTCCATCACGCAGTTCAGACACATTGGCAGGCTGCTCATGGTACATGGACGGAACAGCTACAAGAGGTCTGCAGCACTTGGCCAGTTTGTCATGCACAGGGGCCTCATCATCTCCACCATGCAGGTACCCAGCTTGTGCCCCATATCCCAGTAAAGGTAATGGTCTCACCGGGTGCCAGTGGCTCACTCCTGTAACCCTGGCTACTCAGGAAGCTGAGGTCTGAGGATCATGGTTTGAAGCCAGCTCAGGCAGGAAAGTCCCCGAGACTCTTTAATCTCCACTTAACTACCAAAAAGCCAAAAATGGAGCCATGACTCAAGTGGTAGAATGCTAGCCTTGAGCAAAAAAAAGGGTGAGGAACAGCACCCAGCCCTGAGTACAAGCTCCAGGACCAGAGCAGACTGAGACAGTGGGGGAGAATCTGTGTCTACGTGGCTTGCTGGTACAGCCAGGCTGGAATAAGTGTCAGCGCCAGGCACTTGGGAGAGGCTGTACGCAGAGGGGTATGAGTGTGACTGACAGCACTTTGTTTTTAATCTCCGGTGTTCTCTCTTCTAAGGCTGTGTTTTCTTCAGTCTTCTACTTTGCATCTGTCCCCCTATACCAGGGATTCCTCATGGTGGGGTAAGTCAAGTGTGGCACTTGGGGTGCCTTGCAGCATCATATACAAGAGGATTTTATTTTGGAAAAACGTGTAGAATGTTAAGTAATATTCAAATAATTCTCAGAGCAGATTTTGTTTCATGGAGAGACCATGCTTTGTGTCGGGAACTGCATCATGTCTGACTGTGATTTGGTAAAAGGGTCCTATGGCATAATAAGCAGGGGCCAGAGGCCAGTTGGTGCTGAGGGTGCCACCTGCAGGCCACAGCTGCAAGCCGCCTGAGCCCACACCGCTTCATAGGGGGGTGGGACCAGCCACCTCGATGCCCGAGATGACCTAGTCGCAGCTCACGAGGAGTGGTGACACCTGTTCACAGGCAGTAAGTGAAGCGCAAGGCAGGAGCCGTGACCACAGCTGAGGCAGTCCTGCCCACCAAGTCTGCAAAAGAGGAATTTCTCCAATGAATAACGTGGAATCTCCCTTTCCTTATCCTCTGTGGTTTTGCCTAGAGTTACAGTCAGTGTTAATGGTTTGGCATGAATAAAAGCTGCTCTCCACCACTCTTCTTCCATGTTCTGTAAAGCTTGTTCACTCACCTCAAACCGAAGAAAATAACGGCCACAACCACTGAGTGTTGCCTGCTCTGCTCGGAGCATCGGTCTCCCTTCTCCTTGCCCCATTCTGCATGTGAGAAGAGGGTTCAGGGGCAGTTTACAAGAGCAGTAGCCCAGGCCTCAGCCAGGTAGACTTATCAGGGTGCTGCCATCCACACTTCCACACAACCCCTTCCTCTCTCCCGGCCAGCTGAGAACAGGCAGGCAGGTGCCTCCTAAGTCCTCCTCTGCCACATCCAGCCTTGCTCCAGGCAGGTAAATGCATCCTAAATGCTCTCTTCCTGCAGCTCCCTGAATCCCCAGAATCCCCCCAAACTGTAGCAAAAGACAGAGTATCACATGTCCCGCTTTCGTGACAGAAGAGGTCCCAACTCAGAACCAGTGATGGATGCTGCATGTCCTCCCTGGAGCTCCCACCTCCTTCCACCTCCACCCCCCTTCTCAGAGCAAAAGCTGCATGTCTGTTGTTCTTCCACGGTGGCATTTCCCTCTCTTAAAAGTCCATGTAGTCAGGTCAGGCTCATCCAAGTAAGCCGTGGCAACCTCTCATCGCAGCTTAGTCATGATACAGAATCATACTGCAGGAAGACCGTAGGTATCTGGGAAGCCATTATTCTGCTAACTGCATTATAGTACAGTGAAGAAAAAGAGAGCCTCAGGTCCCAGACTCGGGTGTACACTGCCTCCTATAGTCACTGGACACACGCAGCCTGAGCCCTGGTTTCCTCCTCTAATAGGAAAATGTAATATGGAGCTTGGAGAGGCACTGTGTGGACTACAAGTGTCAAGTTGTTAGCACAGAACTCAACAAATCATAGATACTAAGGGGAAAAAAGAAATTAAACATGTCCCTACCATATTGTCCCATTTGTCATTCCTGGCCAGAATAAGTGTTAAGCTATCTTCTGGATAATGACGGTTTAATTTGTAATAACATGGTCCAACCGCTTAGGCTGCCCCACAGATAGAGGAGGGCATCCTCACTACACCCACAGCCTGCATGATCTCTAGGGACCTGCATTAAGTCGAAAGCCAGTCCCCAAAGGTTACTGGAACAGTAACCCTAAGATGACAAAGGTGGAGGGGAGGCCCGTGACGGGCAAGCGGGGAGGAGGGCATGGCTGTGGAGAGCGCTGGAGGGCTCACTGTTGGACTGGCAGCTGTCTGTGCGTCCACAGCGATCTAGGTGTGGAAAGTGTCCTAAGGAAAATCCATTTCTGAATGGATTTTTTTTCCCTATAGCATCTGTACCTTATAGAAAATAAAATAAGTGTGGTGGTATTTACACCACTGTGCTGTTAGTATAAATATCTGATTTTCCTACTTGGTTGCCAACATGTTTTTGTTTTTATGAGATTTTGTTTTGGTTTTCGAAACTGTGACATGCCTGTAATTCTAGTGTTATTTGTATATTCGTGGTTGTGCTCTAGGCACTTACCAGGCTTGACCTAACTGAGTCTTCTTGATTTCTAAGGTATGCAACTATCTACACCATGTTCCCAGTGTTCTCTTTAGTATTGGACCAAGATGTGAAGCCGGAAATGGCAATGCTATACCCAGAACTCTACAAAGACCTCACCAAGGTATGACCCCAGGACTGGCCTCTGGGTTAGGCAAGAATGAGAAAACATGTGCATTTTGAATAAGTCTGATCTCTCCTCATTTCTTCTTCCAGTTAATTTTGAAATTTCCATTTTGAGCTACACCTCAAAGAAGGAAGCGTTGCAGAAAACAAAATTACTCTCAAATGTTTTGCAGTAGAATGCTCATATCATGCATAAATTCAGTATTTTAAAGGATACACGGAACCATTGTGGAATATTTATGATATAATATTTATAATATTTATGATATAATATTTATAATATTTATGATATAATATTTTAGCAAACAGACTTCCAGGCTTCCCCGGTAGCTAGAAGAGCCCAAGCCTTGATTTCCTATCAAGGGTGCTGGCCAACTGTAGATGTACGTAGCTAGTTATGTCCCTTCTGAAGGGACAGCTTTTCTTCCGCTCACTGCAGAGTGCAGTGTTTCTAAAATAGGAGTCCATTGAGTTACTGACTCAGTACTTCCTTTCCACCTCAGTCTCTGGTTGTGGATTCAGAATCACATGTGAAAAGTGGCTGACAATCAGTCTCTTGCTGAGACACACAGCTGTGTGCAGATATTTTGAAGAAGAATCTTTTCCCATAACTCTGCCAAGCCAACCCTGCCCACTCAGCTTGAAACGATACTGTATTAAGAGTAGAAGATTCTGCGGGGGCTTTTAAGTTTATCATGTCTTTATGTGGAAGCATATTTTTAAAAGCATACAACCTATAAGGACCCCAGGTAAACAAAAATCTTACTTCTCCCAGTACAAACTGTGGCTAGTATTCACTGAGTCAGCCCTGAGAACAAAATCTACTAACCCTCAATTCAGTGCAGGTTTATAATTGATCACCTGAAGTATCAATCAGATTTTTAAAGCTGTGAAAATATGGTGAGGTGAAAAAAAAATTAGATGAGGTATTAAAACTCGATGCCAATCCAGCTGATCACTAACTACCAGACTATACTTTGTCCAGATGACTACTAACAGCCTTCTGTGTACTCAGCTGGCCATTAAGATTAGCGTACTGCCCCAGCTGACCTCTAATCTAACCATACTGGAGTGCAGCTGGCCAATACCAGACTGTACTCTAGCCCAACTGTCCACTAACTAGCCAGAGTTGCTGGATGCTTCATGTTACCTTTTAGATTTCATGGCGTTATTGAAGAATCTGATGAAGTAAGACCTTTAAATCTGTTATAAGAAGTTCAGTATGTCCACACACTTCTCTTGGGACCAAAATAGCAATAGAGCATAAGACAGATTATAAATGTCAAGTGTTATTATCATACTGATATATCATTTTGACTTCCAGGAAAGATTATTACACATATTACAGCTATAAGACATACTTTTGATCTAGTTCCTAAAACGATGCAACCGTTTGGAGTTCATGGAATGTAAAAAAAAAAAAAACTGCAGGAAGTTATTGAAGATAATTGCAGTAGTTTATGCCTTTCCTCCTTCCCAGTCCTCTGCAAATGTGGCTTAATCCCACCTCATAAGTAGCAGATGGAAACAAGCCTTCCATGTCAGAACGCAAGGATCAGTGTCACTGCCCATGTGCTGCCCCAGGTGACATAGAACTAGATCACCACTGTCACTGCCCCAGAAAACCTAGCACTAGATCACCACTGTCACTGCCACAGAAAACCTAGAACTAGACTGTCCCAGGTAACAAAGAACTAGATCACCAGTGTCACTGCCCTAGAAAACCTAGAACTAGATCACCAGTGTCACTGCCAAGAAAACCTAGCACTAGATCACCAGTGTCACTGCCCCAGGTGACATAGAACTAGATCACCAGTTTCACTGCACATGTGCTGACCCAGGGGACACAGTGCTAGGTCGCTGCGTTAGGCAGCAGGGCTGAGATGCACACATGGATTAGAGAAGAAAGCTAAAACATGTGCGTCTTAGTGCTTATAAGGGTTTAGGTTGTGCTTACCAGCATCTCTATAGATACATAAATTCCACTGGTAACAAGGTATTTGTAGGGTTGAAAGTGCCTGACAAAGTAGGTACTCAGGGAACGAGTACAGTCGATGGAATCAGCACATTGGCTGTCACTTAGCCTGACGCCATTTGGACATGAGGGACATGTGTACATCTGGTTGAGTTGTGGCTCATCCATGTCTACATCTCCATTTTTGTTAAGGTCTTCCACATTCAGATATTTTGGTACCCTAAAGAGAGGATACTATTCCTCCTGGTTTTGTGTGCCTGTTTGACACACAGATGGTAGGGAGAAGACAAGCATGGGCACATGTGGACCTCACTTAGCCACGTGCATGTTCTAGGTCAGTGCCTGAGAGCATCTGGGCATCCGTAGCCATAAAAAGAACTGGGTCTCCAATCTCTAGTTAGAGGATCTGCACTATTCCTTTCCCCCCACCCTCAATGGAGTTAGGCCCCTGGAGGAGGGGCTTGTTCAGGACCAGGCATGGAGACCTGATATTGCCAGAAAGTAAAGAATTGCCCAGAAACCAAAAGTAATGATGGTGTTTAAATAGCACACAGGATCCCACTAGAAAGAGAGCTATTAGTTGCCAGAATGAGATCAGATCAGCAACAGAATGCATAAGAATCTTAGTAAGTCCATTTTATTTTTTTTTATTTTTATTTTTTGGGGGAGGTCCAGTTGTGGGGCCTGAACTCTGGGCCTGGGTGCTGTCCCTCAGCTCTTCAGCTCAAGGCTAGCGCTCTACCACTTGAGCCACAGCGCCACTTCCGGCTTTTTTCTTTTTGCTTATGTGGTGCTGAGGAATCGAACCCAGGACCTCATGCATGCAAGGCAAGCACTCTACCACTGAGCCACCTTCCCAGCCCAGTAAGTCCATTTTAATATAAAGTTCTTCCTTACTGATAAGTGTGAAGGAATGAGATGGACAAAGAGGCAGCTAAAAACTCCCACCAATTTCGATCATTAGTTACAAACAAAACCACAGCTTCATAGTGGAGACTCCAGCAGGTGCTACCTCAGCAGACAAATCAGTTCACATTATCAGTGCAACAGAGCTCTTTAGAGAAATGATGTCAATTCCACAGTGTCTTTTCCAACTGTCCTTTTGTTAGAAGGCAGCCCAAGACTAAGGAACAGTCCACAAGCCCCACTGACTGGTGGTTTTAAGGAGTGTCCAGTCCTTGAAAATGAAGGATGAGGAGCTGGCCAGGTGCTACTAGCCCCTGTCTTTGTCAGTGAGGGATACTTGTTAGGACCTGGAACACACTATGGATAACTGGTGGCAGGTGTAGTGACGTGATGCCCACATGGGTCAGTCACTGCTAAATGTCTGAGTCTGCAGCCTCCTAGCCAGCCAGGGGCTGGCCTGAATTCTCTCAAAACAAAGGTTAAAAATGGCCATACCCAGGAAGAATTGCCTTCTTCAGGTTAGTACTGTTGTGTCTTGTAGAACTGCAGTCTTTTCCTTCGTAAGTTTTGAGATTTCCTCAACTACAGTGTGTCCCTACCTCCAGCTAAGTGCAGAATAACATGGGTACCAAGCCACCATCAGGCCATTTCTAGTTTTTATCTGAGGGGTCAAGGGAGTGACAGAGTGACCAGTTCACTTACAAGGGCTCTTTCTGCGGCACTGCCGTGAGCATCAGTCTCACCCTTTGGTGAGTTTCTATTCACTTCCTCTCATTTTTTTGTCAACCCTATATATTACTTCTGCTTCAAACTGCTACCCCCAAATTATTACAATTAGGGATTTGCGAAAAGCAATCTTGGAAGGAATTAGAGAAAGTAAGTTGAGGGAGGAAGTAGGCTAGAAGAGAACAGATGAGACACATGGTTATAAGCAGGGCAGAGGGAGCCCAGTGCCCCAAGAAGGGGAATGTCCCACCTGGTCCCAGCACTAGTGACACATATCTGATCCTGTGTACAGAACATATCTGTCCATGCATGATTATGTGTGCATCTGCTCATGTGTGATCATGGTTATAAACCATCTGCCCACATATGATCATGTATACATACCATTTCATGTCACTGTCCTCAACACAAGTGTTGCCCACAGATGTTTGTATTCAGCTTTTGTGTAACTATAGACACATGCCTATGAGCTTGTCGCTGTACTTACACATATGTTACTATAGCTTGAGTATGATCTGCTTATGTGTGATCAGATATATGCCAACATGCATGTCGCCAAAGCCTATACATAAGTTACCTGATACACATCAGCTTCATATCATTGCAATCTACATGTTACCACAGCATACCTGTAACTTACCTGTGTGTGATCATAGATGCATGCTGAAGTGCATGTCACTGTGTCCTGCATGTGTTACCCATTTGCTTATATGTGATCATAGCAACAGCCAGTGTGCATGCCACTGCAATCTGCATGTGCATTTACCACAGTGTGGTACTTAACATTATTAACAATTTTATTCATCTCAAGTTAGACTAGCCTTTCCTAAAATTATTAATTTCATTTTTTACATTTTGAGGGATACGTATTCAAAATTTGCTTTCCAGTAATGTATATTAATGATAGGATTTATTTCTAGTAGTGTGCATGTTTCGTTTTATGGCTTATGCAATCAACATGAAGTATATACCATTATCATTTCTACTTGATAGAGGAGGAAACTGATGCATACATATTTAGTCAGGAGCCAAGGAGTAGAGTATGGAAGGCAGACTAGAGTATGGGAGTAGACTGACTCAGAATCCCTTTAAACAGCAGTCCCTATTAGAGAGACCAGTGGTTGGTACCTGAACAAGTAAGCAAGACCCTGTCTGAGATGAGCAACAGACATTTGGGTCTGAGAAGAGCAGCTTTATGAGTTCCCTGGAATTCATGGTAGATAAATTGCTTCCATGAATAAAGTATTTGCGTCTTAAATGTGAGATTTCTCCTCTCCGAGCTAAAGTCAGACCCATTAATAAGCATCCACACTCAGGAGCCAGTCACTTAGGCTTATTTTTCTTAAATTATTTTATTTTTGGTTTTAATATTCATTCTGTTGTGTTTTCTTTTATTGATCTGCAGTCCACTGGAGACAGGAGTCACCTGTGTGCAGACTCCATGTGTGCCTTCAGCAAACATCTGCTGTGTTTGCACTCCCAACAAGACAGGGCACAGACACTGCTTTAACTTCCAACAACCACATTGATAATTATTTCACATACGCAGCCGACCTCCAGCAAATCTGACTACAGAGTAAACCGCTTATCTCTTACATCAAGAGATTAAAGTTAAATTCCTTTTAATTCCTGAAGTAAAATGAGCCACGTATTTAATTATAGTTAAATTTTATAGCCAAAGACCAAACACCCACTACTGGCCAGTCTGAGACATGCACTTGGAAAATAGATATGAAAAGACCCTGCTTAAGCTATGTTGGTGGAACATGTGGACATTTTTCTATTTCTTTTAATAAGCTGCAGTGTATTTGAGTACCCATACATTCCCATGTAGCAGAGACTAGGACTCAGAGCCACTCCACTGGGATTCACTCATGTCCAAGGTAAATGCCTAACTGGAAGGTTGCATAGGGTTACAGCTCAGTCCCCTGCCTTTGCTAACCTCCTCAGGACCATAGCAAGGGTGTTCAGCATACATATAAGCATCCTACCAGCTTCCAGGCTTGATCCAGGGACTCAAGTCTGGACTCAGGATGGCATTACCACCACACGTTCCTGCAGTATGTCCTGGGCCCCTGTGATGGCACTTGTCAGTGTACCCACCCTGAGGGACTCTCCCCAGACTGCACAGGACTCCAGGGAAGCCCCATGCCCCAGGTCTCCTCCCATGGAGTGTCTGCCTGATTAGAGGCTATACTGCTGAGAGCAGAGGTGACGGCATGAACTCAAGGCTCTGGTGGCCTCTCACCTGGCCTGTCCTAACCCATTACTATAGGGCCTCCCCCGGTGTAAATCACCTGACAGTTCTCCAGCGCTCAGAGTATAGGTGGTATAGCTGTGACTGGTCTCCTTGCACTGGAATTCCATTAGTGCACTGTAAAGGAAGGCCAACGGAAGACCAGGACCGTTTTTATCTGGCCCACTAATGCAAACCTGGGTTCACTTGGAAAAGCAAAGCCTAGTGCATAAGAAGCCATTCTGTCTCTGTATGATTTACTTCCATGACAGCTTTTCCTGAACGGAAACTCATTTTTTACTGTAATTGGCATGCCTCCTTTTTACAGAAGAGCTGTTACCTTGGGGGGGGAGCAGGAAATAAAAGGAGATTATTCTTATCACAAAGGAAATCTAGGTTACTCCTGGTTAGTTGTTCATCTATAGACATAACTTCCTCAGTTACTAGCACACCAAGGAACATATTGCCATGGCTTGAGCGTCAGCAGATCTTAGCCAACTATGGGCACTGCTATACAGCATCTGCAGGGCCCAGGCTTATCTGAAGTGGCCATAAGATCAGTGGGACAGTTCATGGTGTCAGGCCCTAAGGCTTTTGAGAAGCATCTTGTTCCTTGGGAACCTGAGAGTCAGGTGGCAGTCTGCTCTGCTGAGGAGATGGTTCTACTGTTTGTTCCTAGGGAAGATCCCTGTCCTTCAAAACCTTCCTCATCTGGGTTCTGATCAGCATCTACCAAGGTAAGGCGGGTCCTGACTTCACTGAACCAGTGGGTTGTTTGTGGAGTTTTGGTCGATTGGTTTTTGTTTTTTGTTTTCTTGTCTTAGCAATAGCATTTGCACCTCCAGCTTAAATTCCAGCTTAAAATCTCATCATCAGTTAAATGTTGCCTTCTTTTTTCTTCTTTTTCTTTTTTATTGTGAAAATACTGTACAGAGGGGTTACAATTACATGGGCAAGATAATGAGTACATTTCTTATCAAGCATTGTAGCCTCCTCCTTTGTTTCCCCTGCCCATCCCCTCCCCCCCTGCTCTCCCGCCCCCACCAAAGTTGTAAAGTTCGTTTTTTGGCATAAGACTTGTTTGTCTCATTGTTGCAATGGGTTCACTTGTATCCCTAGTTAAACGAATTGTTTTTTCCCTTCCCCTCCACAAATTATAACAACATCAAATACAGTGAAAGCCTTCTTTTTTTATCTTGTAAATTGATACTCTCACAAGGCACATTGGTATGTTTTCTTTGATACCTATTAGCTAAAAACTGGCCCGTTTTTAATTAAAGGTTAGTCGAGGAAACTGTAGCAAGCACCTTTTACTTTGTGTCCCTGCACAATGGTTTTCTTTCATAGAATGATGATAGCAAGGCTTTGGGAAGTCTGAATTACAAAACCAGAAGGCATTACCACTCTGCTGGAATTCTAGAAAGCGAAAGGCTGTTGCAGACAGAGTTAGGGGACATGGCAGGGATTCCATGAAACGCCTCCTCTTCGTTGACACCAGTCCAAGTGGCACTGTGGCTCTTTCTGCAGATATTGAAGAGTTGGTGAGCCTCTGCTGGGCACACCTGGGTGAAGCAAGTGCACATCTTATTTTACCCCAAACCCATGTCTGTCCATGAGAAGCGTGTGTGCCTGATCCCTGTCTTAGGTGTTAAGAATGGCTCGTTTCCGTGTTCCTTTTTCTTGCTGGCTTCCAGTTGGTGGGAAAAGCTGACTTGTAACAGGCCACTCTGCCTGCTGTCTTCCAGGTGGCATTCTCATGTATGGGGCGCTGGTGCTCTTCGAGTCAGAGTTTGTCCATGTAGTGGCCATCTCCTTCACCGCGCTGATCCTGACCGAGCTGCTTATGGTGGCACTGACCATCAGGACCTGGCACTGGCTGATGGTTGTGGCAGAGTTCCTCAGTCTGGGCTGCTATGTGGCCTCTCTTGCTTTTCTTAATGAGTATTTTGGTAAGTTGTTTCACAGTTTTTTGAGTCCTTATCTAACATTTGTTATTGCTACTTCTTAAAACATTGTTTGAGCTCCCAGAACAGAATAGAGTCCGTATTAGAAAGTTTCATAACAGGAAAGCATATTTTTGTGACAGATAAAATCCTTGCAGTGACTTACAGTGACTTACAGAATTAGGATCTTTACCATCTTGCCTTTTATAAAGATGTTAGAGTTGTATTTGTTTCCAAGAATGCTTCCCACACCAGCTGTGCTGTTTGTACTTTGACAATGAAAGCAGATCACTGCTCCATCACCACGGAAGCAGATAACTGCTCCATGGCAGGCACTTTGGACAGGCAGCCTGGGCACAGAGAGACACCTGTGCTCTGCTTCTTCCCCTGGGCTGTCTGCACTGGGACATACTTGCTTCAGCAGCCTGGCCAAGCACCCCTTAGTGAGGGGGAGCACTATGTTCCACACCATAGGGTCTGCGCTGTCTTCCTGACCAGCCCGGCCCACTCTGACACCAGCTGCGCTTGAACTGCATCTGGACTTGAGCTCCCTGAGCCCGGTTCCTAGAAAGAGAACCATGGGAGAGGTGCCAGGTGGGTGCTGGACATGGGGTGAGAATGTTGTCACTATCCCCCCCCCCATTCGCACTGTTGTCTACAGTGGAGAGGGGATTAGTCAAAGAGGTTCCGACTCCATGCGACCTGTGCCACTGCTTCCCCGCAGAGGCCAGGGCTCCCTGCGTGGCCTGGCCAGCCTCTGCATGTCCGTTAGAGTCCATCTGGTCTCTGCCCACATACCGGAAATACTCTGACTCCACCATTCCAGGACTTCCCTTCGCACACCCCATTCCCTCGCTCACCTGGTTAAGATGAGGAATGACAAAGCTTATGTCATCATCCGTTAGTCAGATGACCCCAAGTCATCGCCAAGTTGGTTAATGTGCTTCCTTATAGTATGGTTCGTAGGGTTTTTTAACATATACAAAGAGAAAAGACGCTCTTGTGTGAGTCATTTCACATCTGGCCTCTTGGTTCATGGAGTGTGGCCAACTCCCCATCTCCTGGGCAAGAAAAGAAAGGAGGCATAATGCAGCCTACATCTCTGGTACGCGTGAATGCTGCCTGCATCCCTGGTATGTGTGAATGCTGCCTGCATCCCTGGTATGTGTGAATACAGCCTACATCCCTGGTACACGTGAATACAGCCTACATCCCTGGTACACGTGAATGCAGCCTACATCCCTGGTACACGTGAATACAGCCTACATCCCTGGTACACGTGAATACAGCCTACATCCCTGGTACACGTGAATGCTGCCTACATCCCTGGTACACATGAATACAGCCTACATCCCTGGTACACGTGAATGCTGCCTACATCCCTGGTACCCGTGAATGCAGCCTACATCCCTGGTACCCGTGAATGCAGCCTACATCCCTGGTACACGTGAATGCAGCCTACATCCCTGGTACCCGTGAATGCAGCCTACATCCCTGGTACGCGTGAATACAGCCTACATCCCTGGTACGCGTGAATACAGCCTACATCCCTGGTACACGTGAAAGCAGCCTACATCCCTGGTACACGTGAATACAGCCTACATCCCTGGTACGCGTGAATGCTGCCTGCATCCCTGGTACACGTGAATATAGCCTACATCCCTGGTACACGTGAATACAGCCTACACCCCTGGTACACGTGAATACAGCCTACATCCCTGGTACCCGTGAATGCTGCCTGCATCCCTGGTACACGTGAATACAGCCTACATCCCTGGTACCCGTGAATGCTGCCTGCATCCCTGGTACACGTGAATGCTGCCTGCATCCCTGGTATGCGTGAATACAGCCTACATCCCTGGTACACGTGAATACAGCCTACATCCCTGGTACACGTGAATGCTGCCTGCATCCCTGGTACGAGTAAATACAGCCTACATCCCTGGTACACGTGAATACAGCCTACATCCCTGGTACACGTGAATGCTGCCTACATCCCTAGTACGAGTAAATACAGCCTACATCCCTGGTACACGTGAATATAGCCTACATTCCTGGTATGAGTAAATACAGCCTGCGTCCCTGGTACCCATGAATGCTGCCTGCGTCCCTGGTATGTGTGAATGCTGCCTGCGTCCCTGGTTCATGTGAATACAGCCTACATCCCTGGTACACGTGAATGCTGCCTGCATCCCTGGTACACATGAATACAGCCTACATCCCTGGTATGTGTGAATGCTGCCTGCATCCCTGGTACACGTGAATGCAGCCTACATCCCTGGTACCCATGAATGCTGCCTGCATCCCTGGTATATGTGAATGCTGCCTGCGTCCCTGGTTCATGTGAATACAGCCTACATCCCTGGCACACGTGAATGCTGCCTGCATCCCTGGTACACATGAATACAGCCTACATCCCTGGTACACGTGAATGCAGCCTACATCCCTGGTACCCATGAATGCTGCCTGCATCCCTGGTATGTGTGAATGCTGCCTGCGTCCCTGGTTCATGTGAATACAGCCTACATCCATGGTACTTGTTAATGCCACCTGCATCCCTGGTTAACGTGAATACAGCCTGCATCCATGGTACACATTGGCATGTGGTCCCCTAGCCTGAGCCTAGAGCCAGTACTCTTCCTGAGCTAAGATAGGTTCAGATTGTCAAAAGACAAACTGTGGCACCTCACCCCTGAGCTGTCTTCCATCACCATGACAAGAGCGCATCACTATTCTTGGCAGTTGTCAGTGAGGCACCGTCCTAGACAGTTGTCACACGCATGTGTGTGGTGAGACACCGTCCTAGACAGTTGTCACGTGTGTGTGTGTGTGTGTGGTGAGGCACCGTCCTAGACAGTTGTCACACGCATGTGTGTGGTGAGACACCGTCCTAGACAGTTGTCACGTGTGTGTGTGTGTGTGTGTGTGTGTGTGTGCTGAGGCACCGTCCTAGACAGTTGTCACGCGTGTGTGTGTATGTGGTGAGGCACCATCCTAGACAGTTGTCACGCATGTGTGTGTGTGTGGTGAGGCGCTGTCCTAGACAGTTGTCATGCGTGTGTGTGGGGGGGGGGTGAGGCACCATCCTAGACAGTTGTCACGTGTGTGTGTGTGGTGAGACACCGTCCTAGACAGTTGTCACGCGTGTGTGTGTGGTGAGACACCGTCCTAGACAGTTGTCACGTGTGTGTGTGTGTATGTGGTGAGGCACCTTCCTAGACAGTTGTCACGCGCGCGTGTGTGTGTGTGTGGTGAGGCACCGTTCTAGACAGTTGTCATGTGTGTGGGGGGGGGTGAGGCACTGTCCTAGACAGTTGTCACGTGTGTGTGTGGTGAGGCACCGTCCTAGACAGTTGTCACGTGTGTGTGTGTATGTGGTGAGGCACCGTCCTAGACAGTTGTCACGCGCGCGTGTGTGTGTGTGGTGAGGCACCGTTCTAGACAGTTGTCACGTGTGTGTGTGGGGGGGGGTGAGGCACCGTCCTAGACAGTTGTCACGCGCGCGTGTGTGTGTGGTGAGGCACCGTCCTAGACAGTTGTCACGCGTGTGTGTGTGTGTGTGTGTGTGTGGTGAGGCGCCATCCTAGACAGTTGTCGCGCGCGTGTGTGTGTGTGTGTGGTAAGGCACTGTCCTAGACAGTTGTCACGTGTGTGTGTGTGTGTGTGTGGTGAGGCACTGTCCTAGACAGTTGTCACGCGTGTGTGTGTGTGTGTGTGTGTGGTGAGGCACCGTCCTAGACAGTTGTCACACGCGTGTGTGTGTGTGGTAAGGCACTGTCCTAGAAAGTTGTCACGCGTGTGTGTGTGTGTGTGTGTGGTGAGGCGCTGTTCTAGACAGTTGTCGCACGCGTGTGTGTGTGTGTGTGGTGAGGCACCGTCCTAGACAGTTGTCACACGCGTGTGTGTGTGTGTGGTAAGGCACTGTCCTAGACAGTTGTCACGCGTGTGTGTGTGTGTGTGTGTGGTGAGGCGCCATCCTAGACAGTTGTCGCGCGCGTGTGTGTGTGTGTGTGTGGTGAGGCACTGTCCTAGACAGTTGTCACACGCGTGTGTGTGTGTGGTAAGGCACTGTCCTAGACAGTTGTCACGCGTGTGTGTGTGTGTGTGTGTGTGTGTGGTGAGGCACTGTCCTAGACAGTTGTCACGCGTGTGTGTGTGTGTGTGTGTGTGGTGAGGCACCGTCCTAGACAGTTGTCACACGCGTGTGTGTGTGTGGTAAGGCACTGTCCTAGAAAGTTGTCACGCGTGTGTGTGTGTGTGTGTGTGTGGTGAGGCACTGTCCTAGACAGTTGTCACACGCGTGTGTGTGTGTGGTAAGGCACTGTCCTAGAAAGTTGTCACGCGTGTGTGTGTGTGTGTGTGTGTGGTGAGGCGCTGTTCTAGACAGTTGTCACGCACGTGTGTGTGTGTGGTGAGGCGCCGTCCTAGACAGTTGTCACGTGTGTGTGTGTGTGTGTGTGTGTGGTGAGGCGCCGTCCTAGACAGTTGTCACGTGTGTGTGTGTGTGTGGTGAGGCACCGTCCTAGACAGTTGTCACGCATGTGTGTATGTGTGTGTGTGTGTGTGTGTGTGTGGTGAGGCGCCGTCCTAGACAGTTGTCATGTGTGTGTGTGTGTGTGTGTGGTGAGGCGCTGTCCTAGACAGTTGTCACGTGTGTGTGTGTGTGTGTGTGGTGAGGCGCCATCCTAGACAGTTGTCACGTGTGTGTGTGGGGGGGGGGTGAGGCACCGTCCTAGACAGTTGTCACACGCGTGTGTGGGGGGGGTGAGGCACCGTCCTAGACAGTTGTCACGCGCGCGTGTGTGTGTGTGTGTGGTGAGGCGCCGTCCTAGACAGTTGTCACGCGCGTGTGTGTGTGTGGTGAGGCGCCGTCCTAGACAGTTGTCACGCGCGCGTGTGTGTGTGGTGAGGCGCTGTTCTAGACAGTTGTCACGCGTGTGTGTGTGTGTGTGTGTGTGTGGTGAGGCACCATCCTAGACAGTTGTCACGTGTGTGTGTGTGTGTGGTGAAGCACCGTCCTAGACAGTTGTCACGTGTGTGTGTGTGTGTGTGTGTGTGGTGAGGCGCTGTTCTAGACAGTTGTCATGCGTGTGTGTGTGTGTGTGTGGTGAGGCACCGTTCTAGACAGTTGTCACGCACGTGTGTGTGTGTGTGGTGAGGCGCTGTTCTAGACAGTTGTCATGCGCGCGTGTGTGTGTGTGTGTGTGGTGAGGCGCCGTCCTAGACAGTTGTCACGTGTGTGTGTGTGTGTGTGTGGTGAGGCACCGTCCTAGACAGTTGTCACGCGTGTGTGTGTGTGGTGAGGCGCTGTCCTAGACAGTTGTCACGTGTGTGTGTGTGTGTGTGTGGTGAGGCGCCATCCTAGACATTTGTCACGCGTTTGTGTGTGTGTGTGTGTGGTGAGGCACCGTCCTAGACAGTTGTCACACGCGTGTGGCGGGGGGGTGAGGCACCGTCCTAGACAGTTGTCACGCGCGCGTGTGTGTGTGGTGAGGCGCTGTTCTAGACAGTTGTCACGCCTGTGTGTGTGTGTGTGTGCGTGTGTGTGGTGAGGCGCCGTCCTAGACAGTTGTCGCGCGCGTGTGTGTGTGTGTGGTGAGGCGCTGTTCTAGACAGTTGTCACGCCTGTGTGTGTGTGTGTGTGCGTGTGTGTGGTGAGGCACCGTCCTAGACAGTTGTCACGCGCGTGTGTGTGTGGTGAGGCGCTGTTCTAGACAGTTGTCACGCGTGTGTGTGTGTGTGTGGTGAGGCACCATCCTAGACAGTTGTCACACGCGCGTGTGTGTGTGTGGTGAGGCGCCGTCCTAGACAGTTGTCACGTGTGTGTGTGTGTGGTGAGGCACCGTTCTAGACAGTTGTCACGCCTGTGTGTGTGTGTGGTGAGGCGCCGTCCTAGACAGTTGTCATGTGTGTGTGTGTGTGGTGAGGCACTGTTCTAGACAGTTGTCACGCACGTGTGTGTGTGTGTGTGGTGAGGCGCTGTTCTAGACAGTTGTCATGCGTGTGTGTGTGTGTGTGTGGTGAGGCACCGTCCTAGACAGTTGTCACGCCTGTGTGTGTGTGTGTGTGTGTGGTGAGGCGCCGTCCTAGACAGTTGTCACGTGTGTGTGTGTGTGGTAAGGCAGCGTTCTAGACAGTTGTCACGCACGTGTGTGTGTGTGTGTGGTGAGGCGCTGTTCTAGACAGTTATCATGCGTGTGTGTGTGTGTGTGGTGAGGCACCGTCCTAGACAGTTGTCACGCGCGCGTGTGTGTGTGGTGAGGCGCTGTTCTAGACAGTTGTCATGCGTGTGTGTGTGTGTGTGGTGAGGCGCCATCCTAGACAGTTGTCACGCGTGTGTGTGTGTGTGGTGAGGCGCTGTCCTAGACAGTTGTCACGTGTGTGTGTGTGTGTGTGTGTGTGGTGAGGCGCCGTCCTAGACAGTTGTCGTGTGTGTGTGTGTGTGTGTGTGTGGTGAGGCACCGTCCTAGACAGTTGTCGTGTGTGTGTGTGTGTGTGTGTGTGGTGAGGCGCCGTCCTAGACAGTTGTCACGTGTGTGTGTGTGTGGTGAGGCACCGTCCTAGACAGTTGTCACGCGTGTGTGTGTGTGTGTGGTGAGGCGCTGTCCTAGACAGTTGTCACGTGTGTGTGTGTGTGTGTGTGGTGAGGCGCCATCCTAGACAGTTGTCACGCGTGTGTGTGTGTGTGTGTGGTGAGGCGCCATCCTAGACAGTTGTCACGCGCGTGTGTGGGGGGGGTGAGGCACCGTCCTAGACAGTTGTCACGCGCGTGTGTGGGGGGGGTGAGGCACCGTCCTAGACAGTTGTCACGCGCGCGTGTGTGTGTGTGTGTGTGTGTGTGGTGAGGCGCTGTTCTAGACAGTTGTCACGCGTGTGTGTGTGTGTGGTGAGGCACCGTCCTAGACAGTTGTCACGCGCGTGTGTGTGTGTGTGTGTGTGTGGTGAGGCGCTGTTCTAGACAGTTGTCACGCGTGTGTGTGTGTGTGGTGAGGCACCGTCCTAGACAGTTGTCACGCGCGCGTGTGTGTGTGGTGAGGCGCTGTTCTAGACAGTTGTCACGCGTGTGTGTGTGTGTGTGTGTGTGGTGAGGCACCGTCCTAGACAGTTGTCACGTGTGTGTGTGTGTGTGGTGAAGCACCGTCCTAGACAGTTGTCACGTGTGTGTGTGTGTGGTGAGGCGCTGTTCTAGACAGTTGTCATGCGTGTGTGTGTGTGTGTGTGGTGAGGCACCGTTCTAGACAGTTGTCACGCACGTGTGTGTGTGTGTGTGTGGTGAGGCGCTGTTCTAGACAGTTGTCATGCGTGTGTGTGTGGTGAGGCACTGTCCTAGACAGTTGTCATGTGTGTGTGTGTGTGTGGTGAGGCACCGTTCTACAGTTGTCACGCCTGTGTGTGTGTGTGTGTGTGTGGTGAGGCGCTGTTCTAGACAGTTGTCACGTGTGTGTGTGTGTGTGGTGAGGCACCGTCCTAGACAGTTGTCACGCGTGTGTGTGTGTGTGTGTGTGTGTGTGTGGTGAGGCGCCGTCCTAGACAGTTGTCATGTGTGTGTGTGTGTGTGTGTGTGTGTGTGTGTGGTGAGGCGCCGTCCTAGACAGTTGTCACGTGTGTGTGTGTGTGTGGTGAGGCACCGTCCTAGACAGTTGTCACGCGTGTGTGTGTGTGGTGAGGCACCGTCCTAGACAGTTGTCACGCGTGTGTGTGTGTGGTGAGGCGCTGTCCTAGACAGTTGTCACGTGTGTGTGTGTGTGTGTGTGTGTGGTGAGGCGCCATCCTAGACAGTTGTCACGCGTGTGTGTGTGTGTGTGTGTGGTGAGGCGCTGTTCTAGACAGTTGTCACGCGTGTGTGTGTGTGTGTGGTGAGGCACCGTCCTAGACAGTTGTCACACGCGTGTGTGTGTGTGTGGTGAGGTGCCGTCCTAGACAGTTGTCACACGCGCGTGTGTGTGTGTGTGGTGAGGCGCTGTTCTAGACAGTTGTCACGCGTGTGTGTGTGTGTGTGTGTGGTGAGGCACCGTCCTAGACAGTTGTCACGCGCGCGTGTGTGTGTGTGTGTGTGGTGAGGCGCTGTTCTAGACAGTTGTCACGCGTGTGTGTGTGTGTGTGTGGTGAGGCGCTGTCCTAGACAGTTGTCACGCGTGTGTGTGTGTGTGTGTGTGTGTGTGGTGAAGCACCGTCCTAGACAGTTGTCACGTGTGTGTGTGTGTGTGTGTGGTGAGGCACCGTCCTAGACAGTTGTCACGTGTGTGTGTGTGTGTGTGTGGTGAGGCACCGTCCTAGACAGTTGTCACGTGTGTGTGTGTGTGTGGTGAAGCACCGTCCTAGACAGTTGTCACGCGTGTGTGTGTGTGTGTGTGTGTGTGTGGTGAGGCACCGTCCTAGACAGTTGTCCCGCGTGTGGTCAGGCGTCATCATCCCTGCACAGTGGATGGTTTGCTTACTTTGGGGTTCGTGGGCTGCAGTTGTGGTACAGCACAGAGCTCCAGAGCTGTGGCCAGTCTGACCACACCCGGGTCTGAGCATGTAGGTGAGACACAGAAGTCAGTTACGCATTCAAGGGACCTCACACAACACATGCTGATGGCAAGTAGGAAAAAGCTGCTTTCAGATTGGAACAGCACAGCTACGCTCCTGTATGGTCGTGAAATGATCCACTAGATGCAGAGAAGCGTTTATTTATTTTTAAGGCACTTCATTTTAATAGCACGTTTCTTTCCTTCGACTGCGTATCACAAAGTGTTAAAGTGGCATCGTGTGGCATTGTGTGGCCCGGCAGTGGGTGGGCCTCGTAGACCAGCGCGCCTGCCCCAGGCGCTCCACATCCTGAGGGGGTCCGTGGGGCATCTGAGTGCTGGCTTCTAAGTCAGAGATTAGGTGGTGGTGGACATGAAGGGGTTAGAGCCACACTTCACAGACACTTTTATTCCTTTTTAATGCATATCTTTAGTGGGTAGCTAACCACTTGAAATGTCCTGATGTCTCCTTATTCTTCATTTCCTTATTCCTGTTTTCTCTTGGAACAGGTATAGGCAGAGTATCTTTTGGCGCTTTCTTAGGTAGGTGATATTATTTTTTTTAAGAGTCTAGAAATTCAGGAAAACAGTGTTGACAAATATGTTTAACTGATTTTTAAAAAATCTTCCTCCAGCCACTTCCAGCTGATGGCCACGAGCTCTCGCTCTGCCGCCACCCAAGTGAATGGGCTTGGGGTCCAGGCTCTCCCTCCCGAAACACTTGGGCCACTCAAGTTGAAGTGGGCCAGCTTCTGGCAAACCCTGGTGTAATCTGTGACCTGTCCTCTATGGGCCCTGTCCCCAGTAGAGACAGCACTTGTTTCCTCGCATCCTTGATTTTTATACCAGTCTAGATAACTCCTAGTCAGGGTCTTTTTTCTTCCATCTTCTGAGTTAAAGGCTTTCTGCGGTATGCAGAATAAACTGTACTGATGTTGGGTTTTTCACGTGTCTCTTCTCATGGGGCTCGTTGAAATAGCTCTCCACACCAGCGGATTCATGAGCATGTGAACAGAGAGTGCCGGGGGATGGGCCAGCAGAGCACTTACTTTAGGACAGGTTTGCCTGAAGTGGGATGGGGTGGCCTGCCTGCCCTCTCAGGGACTCCAGAGGCAGCAGTCAGAAGGACTGCCGTGCAGAAGGACAGCCTGGACAAACGTTAGCAAAGTAAGTGGGGTGTGGCGGTGGGCTGCACACCTGTGATACCAGCTACGTGGAGCGCTAGAAGGACTTCAGTCTAGACCCTGTCTGAGAAACAATGCAAAAAAAGGCTGGAGGTGTGGCCCAAGTGGTAGAGGGCCCTGAGTTCAAGCCCCAGTGCAGTCAACAAAAGCAAAACCTAGGCATGTCTGAGCATTTGTGTCCTAGGCCAGGAGCTGCCTCCTGCCCCTGCTGCCCCAAGTCCATAAAGGTCTGCCTTACAAAGAGCACCTGCACAGCCAGGCCAGCTCTCCAGTTCCTCCTGCACGATAGTGTCTTCCAGACTGTGGTTAGAGCCTGCTGAGAGTGCATGGTGACACCCGCGTGTGCAGCCATTACTGCTGTGCTGCTAGCGTGGAGACAGCTCCAGGCTCCGAGTGTGCCTGCAGCCCCAGTGTGGCAGTGCTGCGGCACGTGGCCTGGGCACGTGGGCAGCTGGCCTGCAGTCTGGTGTGTAGCTCTGTGACTGACGCTCAGTCTCCTTCACCTCCTGACAGACGCTGCCTTCATCACGACCATGACCTTCTTGTGGAAAGTGTCAGCCATTACTGTCGTCAGCTGCCTTCCACTCTACGTGCTCAAATACCTGAAGCGAAAACTGTCCCCCCCCAGCTACTCCAAACTGTCCTCCTGAGGGTGCAGGGCCCAGGCAGGATGCCCTGCGCTGGGTAGCGTGGGGACGGGTGCTGCTGGGGCCTCACCCGGCCCTCCTCCAGCACCATCTGAAGTGTGTCAGTGGTTCACTTCTGCAGCTCCTTCTGTGGTGACGTACTGGGGAAAGCCATGCCTTTCTACACAAGATCACGTGGGCGCTGGAGGTGTCCCGTGTGCTTGCACCCACCCTCTGCAGGGGACCGCCTACGCGCAGCCCACAGTGGTCACGGCCTTGCCTCACGGACACTTGCAGTGAGTCCTGTGGATAAGGAGCAAGCTCTTCATGTGCACAAACATAATCCCATTGCAGCCATGAATGTAAACCATCTTCCAAAGGCACTGCTGTTAGGTAATGTGTCTTTTCAGTTCCAGCCTTTTATATTTGTAAAGCCACACTCAAAACAATTTCTGTCCATAGAAATGAGCTGTCCTGTGGAGCGCGCATCTCTGATGCTCACTGAGTTCTCTTGGTTGCATGCCCACAGCTGGATGTGCACTAGAAAAGCGTCCTGGATGGCTGCCCCAAGGCATCTAGGAGCAGGCTCCCTGGGGGAAAGGGAGGAGTTTCTGTGGGGCCCGGTTGGTTTTGTGTGCATTGTACAGCAGATGCAATGCCATCTGTCCGATGTGTGCTGTGCTCAGGACTCCATTCACCAGGCAGCGTGGCGTGAAGGAAAGTCTCAGACCTTGTAAAGCAGGATGTTTTTACTTGCACTGGGCATTTTGTGGATGTCTGTGTCCTTCAGCTGATTTCCCATTGAATGTGGACCCCACCGCTCTGAAGCCCTTGGGAATGCCACGCTGCCGTGGAGCATTTTGGGGTCTCCTGACTGAGGTCTGCAGCGTGGCCCTCCAAGGTTCCCACCAGCCACCGCTTTTCAAAGGAGATACTTTTCTGCTGCAATAAAGCTTTTCTTCCCACATACGACTGTCATTATGCCTTTTGAATTGAATGCCTTTACATGTTACGCAACTCGCAGATATGTGACCTCAGGAGCTATTCCTTCCACTCCCCACAAGGTGTCACTGTCTTGTCAGTTCTGCAGGCAGCTTTGGTCTTGTGGGTTCAGGCTGGCTTTCTCCGTGCGGAAGAGAAGTGACCCCCAGGTCAGTGATGGCCAGGCTCACAGAAATGCCAACAGCCTGGACAAGGAAATCACATCACTGCAGTCAGGGGCGCAGTGTTCCAAGTGTTCCAAGCACACATCAGCCTGTGACCAACACAGCTGTAGCAAAACGTGAACACCAGAACACATGAGTATACAGAAAAACAGAGTAGATAGAAGCCTTTGTCTCCAGGCTGTATGCTGAAAATGAGCACCTCGGAGCAAATGAAACCACAGTGGGAAGGGAGCTGCACAGACGCCAGGACATGGCGGTCACAGAAGGAGTATGTAGCACTGGTGCTCTGCCAGATTGAAGGGATAGCCAACCAAGTGATCATTCAGTGTAGTTCTTGCCACTTCCCTGGGCCGTCTGGTCAGCGGCTCTGTCCACTCCACCCCAAGCTTCAGCAGGACCGTTCCTCTGCTTTATATGAGGGAAGAGTATCTGAGCTGTCCAGAGGTCACTATCACAACCATCCCTGTCCATTGGGAGCGCCAAGAACAGGCCACAAGTGCCCAGTGTGTCCAATACCCATAGAGACATGACACACACAGTCTTAATCATTCCACAAGGACAATTCACATGGGAGTAAGTGCATAAGACGTTGATAGTATGCACAGTGAGGAGGGACTCCCTGAGAAGTGCAGTTGAGACCAAGACCAGAAAGCATCCATTGGTATGGAAAATGGAGAGAGCACTATGTCCAGTCAGGTAAGGTAGGGCAGTCAGCAAGTAGGCAAGGCCTGAGAGAGCGTAGGTGGCAGGATGAATGGGAGACGGGTGTAGATGAGGGGTACGTGGGTGGGTCGGGGCGCAGATGAGGGGTGCATGGGTGGGTTGGAGGGAGCAGAGATGGAGGGAGGTGAGTGGAGTGTGGATGGAGGGAGGTGAGTGGATTAGATGGAGGGAGGTGAGTGGAGTGTGGATGGAGGGAGGTGAGTGGAGTATGGATGGAAGGAGGTGAGTGGAGTATGGATGGAAGGAGGTGAGTGGAGTATGGAGGGAGGGAGGTGAGTGGAGTGTGGATGGAGGGAGGTGAGTGGAGTGTGGATGGAGGGAGGTGAGTGGAGTATGGATGGAGGGAGGTGAGTGGAGTGTGGATGGAGGGAGGTGAGTGGAGTATGGAGGGAGGGAGGTGAGTGGAGTATGGATGGAAGGAGGTGAGTGGAGTGTGGATGGAAGGAGGTGAGTGGAGTGTGGATGGAAGGAGGTGAGTGGAGTGTGGATGGAAGGAGGTGAGTGGAGTGTGGATGGAAGGAGGTGAGTGGAGTGTGGATGGGAGGAGGTGAGTGGAGTGTGGATGGAGGGAGGTGAGTGGAGTGTGGATGGAGGGAGGTGAGTGGAGTATGGATGGAAGGAGGTGAGTGGATTAGATGGAGGGAGGTGAGTGGAGTATGGATGGAAGGAGGTGAGTGGAGTATGGATGGAGGGAGGTGAGTGGAGTATGGATGGAAGGAGGTGAGTGGAGTGTGGATGGAGGGAGGTGAGTGGAGTATGGAGGGAGGGAGGTGAGTGGAGTATGGAGGGAGGGAGGTGAGTGGAGTGTGGATGGAAGGAGGTGAGTGGAGTGTGGATGGAGGTGAGTGGAGTGTGGATGGAAGGAGGTGAGTGGAGTGTGGATGGAAGGAGGTGAGTGGAGTGTGGATGGAAGGAGGTGAGTGGAGTATGGAGGGAGGGAGGTGAGTGGATTAGATGGAGGGAGGTGAGTGGAGTATGGAGGGAGGGAGGTGAGTGGAGTATGAATGGAAGGAGGTGAGTGGAGTATGGATGGAAGGAGGTGAGTGGAGTATGGAGGGAGGGAGGTGAGTGGAGTATGGATGGAGGGAGGTGAGTGGAGTATGGATGGAAGGAGGTGAGTGGAGTATGGAGGGAGAGAGGTGAGGGGATTAGATGGAGGGAGGTGAGTGGAGTATGGATGGAGGGAGGTGAGTGGAGTATGGATGGAAGGAGGTGAGTGGAGTATGGAGGGAGAGAGGTGAGGGGATTAGATGGAGGGAGGTGAGTGGAGTATGGATGGAAGGAGGTGAGTGGAGTGTGGATGGAAGGAGGTGAGTGGAGTATGGAGGGAGGGAGGTGAGTGGAGTATGGAGGGAGGGAGGTGAGTGGAGTATGGAGGGAGGGAGGTGAGTAGATTAGATGGAAGGAGGTGAGTGGATTAGATGGAGGGAGGTGAGTGGAGTATGGAGGGAGGGAGGTGAGTGGAGGGGCCGCACAAGCCGCAGTCCTGGGTCTCAGCACCAGCACTGTGTGCATTTGCCCCCTGGGAACAGGCAGGAGGTGTGTGAACATACCTCTGTGCAAGTACACAGAGGCAGATTATCACGCTGCACCAGAAGCAACGCTAGCCACGCATGGTGATGCGCACCTGTCATCCTGGGATTCAGAAGACAGAGGCAGGAAGGGGAGCACAGCATCATGCCATCGACAGAGGCACAGACGTGGGAGAAGGATGGGGCAGACACCGTGTGCAGACAAGTGTCCTGATGACATTCAGAGTGGGCTTCACACCCTCAGGCACCACTGGAGACAGTGAAGGGTGGGCTGGGAGAAGGTGGAGCCACCTGACTCGAGCATGCTTGGCATCTTGACCACCCCTCTCAGTAACAGCTGCACCGAAGTCAGAAGGACAGAGGTCAAGAGGATACTGGCAGACAAATCACCCTTAGTAGCCACTGAAGAACGCTCAACAGGTCAGTAGCACCCGCAGAGAGCACAAATACTGGAATCAAGCCAAGTATGGTGATTAGTGCCTGTACTCCTAGCACTTGGGAAACATTGTGAGTCCAAAGCCAGCCCTGGGCCGTAGCAAGACCCTATTTCAAAGCAATACAGAATCAACCATGTCTCCCAGAGCCATGGGCACACAGGTGGAAGGAAAAATGACTTGAAAAAGAACTACCTATTAAAGTGAAAGTATGTCAAAATTTGACAGATACAGTTAAAACAGTCTTTGAAGGAAGTTAACGCTTTTAAATGCTGAAAAAAAATAAAATCAACAGGTTAGAGTTTGGCAAGCTAGAGAAAGAATAGCAAAGGAGGCCCAAAGCAAGAAGCAAAAACAAGTTAATGCCAGCGAAGTGGAAAACTGACTGCAGTCAGAAACCCAAAGTTGGCCCTTTGAAAGGATCAACAAATGAACTTTAAAGACAGCTTGCAAGGGCGCTCACGCCTGCAATCCTAGCCACTGAGGAGGATGAGATCTGAGGACAGCAGTTCAATACCAGCCAGAGCAAGAAAGTCCATGTGACTCTTTTTTGTTGTTGTTGTGTTGTTTGTTTGTTTTGTTTTTTTGTCTGTCATGGGGTTTGATCTCTGGGCCTGGGCGCTGTCCCTGAAGTCTTCAGCTCAAGGCTAGTGCTCTGCCACTTGAGCCACAGCGCCACTTCCGGTTTTCTAGTGTTTTATTGGAGATGTTTCACAGACTTTCCTGCCCAGGCTGGCTTTGAACCGCGATCCTCTGATCTCAGCCTCCTCAGTAGCCAGGATTACAGTGTGAGCCACCGGCACCCAGCTCCATGAGACCCTTATCTCCAATTAACCACCAGAAAAGCCAGAAGTAGAACTGTGGCTCAAGTGGTAGAGTGCTAGCCTTGAACTAAAAAAGGTCAGGGACAGCGCCCCAGAACAAGCACAAAGACCACCAGACAGACCACTGGAGACAGACTGCATGTGATGGTCCTGTGATGCCTGAGCTCCAGTGGCCCCGTGACCCCTGTGGGCTGCGGGCGGGCCTTCCTGTCACATGCCACCAGGCCAGTGGGGACCGGCTTACAGTGCTGCACGTCTTCACACTTCCTGCGGCTCTTCACACAGCGCTGGGTGTGGGGTCTGGCAGGAGGGGGTGGGGTGAGGCTTGCCAGGCAAGCAGTAAGGCAGGCCTGACCCTGAGTGTGAGCGGAGGGCGTGGCTGTAGCCTCCTGGGATTCCTCCGGTCCTGTGGTCTAGAAGGAAAACCAAGCCGAGTCCCCATCTCCCAGGACCAGTCTGCCCCAGCCAGGACTTCGGTGAGCTGGGGCCTGCTCTCTGCGTCCCCACGGGCCCTGTGTCCTGGGAAGCACTGCCTGCCTCCTGCTCCCAAGACGGTTTCTGGAGTCACAGAGGGTGGCTGGGAGCAGGGAGGGAAAGGAGCCCTCGTCCTCACTGCCCCCCCCCTTGGGGTCAGTCCCAAAGCCTGTCCTGCAGGTTCCCCTGCAGACCCCGTGCAGGCTTTGCCCTGTACACTTGAGCTGGGCCTTGCCAGCTTCTGGCCGGTCTCCCTGGTCACAGCAGCCCTCTGCTGGGGGTCAGTGAGGGGTCACCCGAGAGCCGCCCTCTTCCACCCGGGGCATGGACCGCCAAGAGCCTCGGGCAGCAAGCCCCTTACACCACTGAATTTGGGCTGTGGGCCCTGCCTCCTGGCTCCTGGTGAGACCAGCATAGTACCAGGCCAGTGCTCAGAGCGTAGGCTGGGTAATGGGGGTGGGGTGGAGAAGCAGGCACAGGAAGGCAGAGACGTGACCAAGCGCAGGGCGGTCTGCCCCGGGCTGTGTGCCCCTGCTGAGCCCACCCTGCCCAAGCCACAAGGTCAGCACCCCTACAGAACCTGCACCCCGGTAGGACACAGCTGCCCAGACCAGCTCACGGAGTCCGCTGTCAGGGCTGCGGCTAGGGCTCACAACTGGCAAGGGACAGTGTCCTTCCCAGCGGGGCCCGGGCCTGCACGCTCAGACTTAAGGGGTTTGCGGAAGCACGAGCCTGCACCTCTCCCCAGGCTCCCCCCAACCATCTGCCAGGCACCCCTGTGCAGAAGAGTCCCCGTTCCCCCAGGTGCAGTCAT